TCTTTATTCGTCTCTTCTGACATATTTTCTTGAAACTGTATGGTTTATTCTTTGAAAATTATTTCACCTGATGATATGTGACAATTGTGGTTTTTCATTTTAAAACGCATTTATACATAAATAGGTAGCCGTATTTAAATGATGGTTTGTATATAGAGTCTATCATATTGCTAGAGATTTCTTTAAGTAGCATTGTTTAAATGATTTGAACGAATGAAACTTATGTTCTTTATTATTTCTAAGATAAAAAAAATACACAATCTGATATTATAAAACAATAAGACTTAATCTTACATATAACATGCAATGAGAAGAAACAATAGGGCATTCATTGTGAAATCATCCCATATCATATGATCATAGAAATAGTAATCAGAAATGTTTCATTATGAAGTGAAATTCTATTGAATTATGTTGTCCATTTACTTTCAATATTGGATAAAAAAAGATTTTTTTAAATATGGGATGAAACGACCGTCCAATGCTTCCAGGTTTTCCTTGATGGTCTAATTTCAATTGACTCATGATCTCAACTGTAATATCTACGAAAATCCTTTTGAAAATATAAAAACTTTGTGTTTTAAAAATTATTTATTCTGTTAGATAGAAAAAAACACATACTTGATATGAGTGTTATGAGAAGCTGTTTGTAAACGTGTTATCTCTCACAAACATGAATAATGATAATGAGCTTAAAGTTAAATATTACAAGTGAATGACATTTGTTTAAGTCCCTGATTATTGCAGCAGTAGGCCTCAACATATACAAATGAAAAAGCAAGATCCTCAAATACAATACGAAGAACACCAAACAATCATACTTCGACATTTATCACCGAATTTATCTTATTCTAATTTGAGTGTCCTGAAAATAATACCACGAAGTGCAACGCTAACCGGTGCTGAAGATGGTTGGAAGAAAGTAAGGAGCGGCAAAATCAAAACTTGGCATTAGTGTTTGAGGTCACTAACTTCTAGTCTGAGCCATGTTGGTAGATGCAAACTACTTGGTTGGTGTCCGCATAACCATCGTAATCAATGGTTGGAGATTCTGGGTGACATGGCTCAGAATCGATCACAATGGCGTAGGTGTATACACTCTGTTTTCCCTTAAACTAAGAGAATAAAATCGCTTCATATCTTTCTTTCTATGAATTAATTCCTTCTTCCTGTACTATAACCTTATATGCAATCTTTCTTTTATATACTACCGTCACTGAATTTAACTACTTTATGAATCCGGTGTTCATCTTGTTGTCTTAACGAGGTATGGCAACTTGGACCAATGCATATATGTTCCTGGTCCTACGTTGTAGTTGACTGACTGACTGAATCTACAAAGAATGACCACCAATCTAAAAGTTCTCATCAACCTTCAGCACTCAGATAATATTGTCTAATTTAAGGAAAAATTAGGTAAAATTCATGTTCTATTATATAAATTGTGACAGTTGAAGACTAATTTTTCAAACTCAGAAATTTTGTTTGAGAAGCATGTACATGAACATCTATTTGACCATATAAAATTAGGGTTTTGAGTGTAGTATCTACTTCAGTCACCTCAAAAGTCTTATCTAATGAAGTGAGTTAGTGAATGATAAAATCTTGGCATAGATTAAAATAATCCTTGTTACTGTAAATGATATCACCTGTAAATAGGAGAATGATTCTCTGAAAGATAAAAGATGAGTAAACTGGAAGACCAGTCTCTCTGTATTAATTTAAAGCTTTATAATATTCCCTTTGCGGATTGACGTGTCCGTGGTTAACATTTTGTAATAAACGTTGGCAAATACTGGAAGTCGAGTAATGAGATGCTGGTGGAGTGAAACACATAGATCATTGGCATTTCTGTGAAGATCTAAACACCTGTTGTCTTTGATCTTGTCGTTGGTTTAACATTCACTTCTCTTTAGGGCTTTGTTTTCAAGTATATCTAATTTTTTCTCAAATCTTCATGTTTATCCTCTACTAGTTCATGTAATTCATGCCTTTTTCACACCCTTTTATACGATTTCTGATGATGGTGAACGTATAATTAAGTGTTAGATATCTCAGAGGTCAGTTACTCAGGTGAATATTATTTCAATGAATTATCTTATAGTTTGATACTGGATATACATGTTTTTATTTACTACTCGTAATATGTGATTTAAGAAATCTCCATTTCAACACTAAGGGGTAATCACAGAAATTCACCGAAAACTCTCGATGTTATGAAGTCTTTCTTAATCTCTAAACAATGAAAGACATTCGTTGCATTATCAACAAAAATAATTTAAAATTCAGGAAGCATAACAGGAACAGTCAAGAATTAGTTTTCACATTTGGGTTCCATTGAATGAGATCAGAAAACTAATTCTTTCTTTATTCAAAAGCTGCAGGTAAATTCACCTTCACGACACAACTGACAAAGAACTAGGAAAACATCTGTCAATTCACATCAAAAATGCTTCTTTCCCAAGTTTACTAACATAAACTTGCAGTTTAAACAAACACTTTAAACACCTGCTACAGCCAGAAGGAAGACGTCTTCACGTGCGCGGAATTCAGAAGAGATACGGTTACAGAAATACTGAAGAACAGATTTCCGAAACCTTGTAGAAAACCAATTTATTCTGCTAAGCTTCTCACTAAATGTTTCAACCGGTTTCTGATTTTAGTACATATGTTAGGAATAAACTGCCACTTTTCAAACAACAAGTGTGCAGACACATGTATACTTCCGGATGTGGAACAGTTCTCATTGAGACGAATGCTTTCTAAAAGTATTTTTCAACAACACGCTGTTCTGCAATCAATCACACCTTCAGTTTGGAACACTTCTTCAATATTAACCACTCTGCTCCACAATAATTATCATACAAAATCATTCAGTAATGAGCTCAGAGGTAGAAGAGGATGGTTGCGCATTGAACAGGCTCCAGTAATTCAACTATTGATAATTAAACTATTTTGTATTTTTTTATTCTACTGGAGTCTTAAACCGCTCCTCTAATTTCTTATTCCTGTAAATTAGTGGTTATTACTATCCCCGTAACTTATTAAGTTTACATAAACCTCTTTATCGTTTGGTGGTCTTCTAACTGGTAACTATATATCATACTTCATATCGATAACCCTTACTGATTTTACCAATCATAACACAACTGTTCTTAACACCTGAAATTTCGGGACAGTTTTGTTGTGAAAAGCCAGTTATTATTTCTGATACTGATATACACGATTTCTATAAGTCACCAAAACCTGTTAGTTGAGCGGAAAACTCAACAGTGAGTAAGAAACTGTACTACCTAAACTCAATCAAAATATGTCCACAAACCTGATTGAAAATATGGATATGCGTTCTTTCGATAATTAAGCCAAATCCTGATCAATACCATGTTGTCGTAATTACTGATTTATCATTTAACCTTAAACTTCAAAACAATGTTCTCACTCTCTGTTGTTATTTGATTCTTCGCAAATATATTGTAACATGATTGAGAAGTAAAAATACAATGCCAACCAACGGTATTTATTCCGATATTTCATGCACAGAGAACTATAAGAACAGTTATTACATTTGTGTGTTCCTTTGATTTATTTTCTGGAGACGCAATTAGCCATATAGCTCTTCTAAGTAGATTGAGATCAGAAAGAAGTCCAACACTCAAACAATATAGAGATTTGAAGTCCATATTACAAATTTGAATTTGTCGGACTTCGTAGATAAAACGTTTCTATTAACTAAACAGTTTAAGTATTCTAGATTCGTATATTCATCTGTTATCAAAGGTAAATGTGTTCATGAGTTTGGAAAAGGTTCCCAATGGTATTTTGAATAATAATAAACGAATCATTTATATATCGGAGATTAGTTCATAGTCGGATGATACTTGGATGTACCATTACCAATATCAAATTTAATTAGACTTATAACCTGTCATGTATTTGGAACAGTTCATTTATTATAAATCACCTTGATTGACAATAAGACAGTGATCTCACACATGATGATCAGTTAATATTTCCAACATAATTTATTATTCAACTTATTAAGTTTCTGTCACTTAATCAGTTTTTGATAGGCTGTGGGTATCCAGAAATCCTGAACCTGTGCGCACATGTCAATGCAAAACTAAGTGGTGGGTTTGACATGTTAAACGAAACACTCTATTGGTTAGATCAGTTTATGCACTGTATCAAGTTGTGTACACACACAATTGAGTTGTACACTTATCCACTCAGCTCGATAATCACAGCTTCCTAGTCACTTTTAGTCATCTTACTTACGTATGAGGTTGGAATTGGTGTATAGGAAGAATGATTTTTCGAAGCCGATTCAGCGATCCAATAGCAATCAGTTAGTCAGTAACAACGTAGAGCTTCGTACGTACGTACATCAGTTCGAGTTGCCACACCACATAAGCACAGAGATGCAGTTGTTGATTCAAATCCCGTAGTGGTAGAGGTAATAAGAGTATAAGCAGTAGTCGGAAACATTAGGGCTTGTAGATGTTATTTAAAGAGTATAATTCAGTGAAATAAGTTTGGAAAGAGAAAAAAGAGACAAGGAGGATTCAGGAGATTAGAATTCGGGAGAACACAAAGATTAGATGCACCTGCGCCATTGCAAACGATTTTTAGCCATGTCACTCAGGGTCTCTAACCATCGGTTGCTATCATCTCGCGGTTCAATCAGCTAGTGTGCACCTACCAACATGACTCAGTCCACTTGTCAGCAACTTCATGGGCTTGTACCATGTTTTGGTATGGTGATCCAAAAACATAACACTGTCTTTAAAACATAAATAAAGCCTTAGAATTCATGAAGATTCATACATTTACATTTCTTAGTTTAACAATAAAAAGACAATCTAAAGTAGTTTTAACAACAAAAGGAATCAAGTAGCTAAATTTACCTAGAATATTTCAAAATGTCAAAAATAACCACTACAACAATTAAAAAGCCAATTACAATGTAGTAAGCTAATCAAATAGTAAATTTACATAAAAATCCTCAATTAAAAGTCACTCAATTGTTCATTCACAGTTAGTTAAGAATTATGTTTCATGCATTAACGAGCAATTAGCCCACTGTTTCTTTTCAAATATTCTCCAACTAATTTACCAGGTAACTGTTCAAATAATTTAAAATCATCCGCAGATATAGTAACTTGATCATTTTCAAGACGATTTACAACTGCTACACAAACTAGAATAGCTAAAGTAAAATGAACCATCACACAAAAATGATTAGTAACACAAAGACAATGATTTGTAAACCAAAATTTATACACTGATAAATATATACATAATATTTGTCTGTGTGAAGTTAACTCGACACAGTGGTCTCCATTACCATCATTAATTAGGTAAATCAGTATTAAAAGTCGATTTTCCTTTCAGCATAGATTGATATCAGTTAGACATTCATTTGAATTGCAAATTTAGTAGTTGAATTCATGAATCAGTTGAAGCTAGACCACCATGGAAAACGTGGAAGCACTGGACGACCAACTCGTGCTAGTATGGGACTCCTCAGCAGTGATCATCCACGATCGCTCCTCGCGAGATTCGAGGACGAACCCAGGGTCTGTCAGTCTCGCATGAGAGCACTTAAACCCTAAACTACCGAGCTGGCCAGCATCCAGCAGTGTTAATGTGTAACTTCAACCAATCCGCGAATTCGCGCCATAGTCTACCATTGTCATCAGTGAGTTACTAACTCATAACAGAACTAGCTGAACTCCACTGGTCACGGCTTCTCACTGGAGCTCCAGGAAATACCTTTTAAAGACCATCACTAGTGAGCATATGGTGATTATAACCAGATGCCGGCTCAGTGGTCCAAAGGTTAAGTGTTCGTGCGTGAGACTGATAGGTCCTAGGTTCGAATCTCGCGAGGCGCGATCAAGGGGTGCACACTGCTGAGGAGTCCCATACTAGCACGAGTTGGTCGTCCAGTGCTTCCACGTTTTCCATGGTGGTCTAGCTTCAATTGACTTATGAATTCAACTACTAAATTACTATAATATCCACAAAACCCCTCTCTGATGATAAACTGTAAATAGTTAAAAGGATTCTTTAAGTTATTTAAAGACTCACAATAAAAACTAAAATATATAGTTCTTGTTGAGAGCAAGATAGGTTTAGAAGATTGAGTGGTTTTACAATGGCATCCAATTCTAAATTCATTCATTTGTGATGTTGTATGTCAATTACTCTACACTATCTGTGATAATTAACCCTCTTTTTATATCTTGACAAGATTCAATTCTACTAACCACAGTTTTTCACTATAGCTGGAACTGATATTCCCACTCATTGTTTAGAGGGTAAGGATACTTCATACAGTATAATATTCATCTGTCTTAAATAGCTAATCCCAAGTAGCACATTACTATATCATTAATTTCCATATACTACTTTAGTTTACTGAAATGAGTCAATATATTCCTAAAATAAAATGAAATTAACAAATTCATCTTTTTCTAGTCTGAGAACAGTATATTTTATTAAATTAATAGACTGCAACCGAAATTCAGGCAACAGTATCAATTCTCAGTCTAATCGACTTACTTGACGATATGAATTTGCAAGGACAAAATTGTAAATTTCATTTCATCATATATAAAACAACAACTGGGAGGCTTACTTGAACATCTGAGCTACCTGTTCCTACCATCTAGATATTTCAACACTATTTGTAAGCTTATTATGTAGTAAACCTATAGTTGCAGGCAATATCAAAACATCCTTTAAAATCTTAGTGGTTAGAACATTTTACAAACCAAATTTCTTATACCACTCAAAAGACTTGACCGAATTGTGTTACAAACTCATAAATTCTGTGCACTGTCACAGACGATTCTCGGCATAATTTAAAATTCCCCATGCCAAACAATTATCAAGATTCATTAACCTAAGTCAGCCAGCTCCCAACTTTCCCTCTTTTAGTATTTGTAATTAAAAAAAACTCATCGGAATACCACAATATCAAAAGAAAATAACATAAATTATTCAGGCATTTGAATGTATCACCTCGATGACCAGTTGAATTGCAATGAGATGTAATTGCAGTACCCTCCATTTCCAAATTTCTTATGCCATGATCATAAGCCGACTTAAGATAAGCTAATTTCTCTTCTTGGCTAAAAGAACAAATCGCTCCATCCAATCTTCCTTGCTCTATAAAATTAAACAAACATATAACTATTTCTAAACTGAAATCAAAAAATTGGATAAAATATAAAGAAAACTTAAGTCAGATACTCAGATACTCAGTGAACAATTGCTCAAACGTTATATTTAGATTTTATCATTATACCATAAGGAAATAACGTAAATTCTATACATAACTAGCAAATAATCAAAGTAAAAATTGGTTACATTTAAATACTTTTTCTGAAAATGATTTACATACTTAAAACAATCTCATATATTACTAATGACGTGATTTGTTGAAATTTGTGCATCTAGCTAACATGAAAAGATCGATCCATTTTTATGTATCAATATGGTGGTTGTAGAGATTGTTAAGTTTTTGATTGAGATCATGAACCGATTGATGTTAGACCACCATTGGAAAACTGGAAGCACTGGACGGCCGTTTCGTCCTATTGTGGTACTCCTCAGCAGTGCGCATCCACGATCCCGCTCGCGGGATTCGAACCCAGGGCCTTCAGTCTCGCGCGCGAACTCTTAACCTACCTAACATTTTGATTCACTGTACTGAGAAGATAATGTTGTTATCAGTGTACAGTGAATTGAAGTGCAATCACTCTAGAGAATAGCACACAGCCTACACAACTGAAAATAAACTAATTTATTTATAAAATACGATGCGAAACACCATTGATCGACGTTTGCCACTGAGACCTTAAGAAAACAATTGTGAACGTCATAATCAGTGAGCTTAAGTTACATTCCAACCAAGAGGGTCTATGGAAGTCTCCAGCTAATAAAGTATTAATACTGTAAAGAATATTTCCAGTGGTATCACAGTCACAGCTGTTAAGCTCTAGAATATGTCATTTATAAATGCTTCATTATCGATAGTAGCGTTTCAGATCACTAGCTACATTCAACGCTTTTTTCAAAATTCATTCATCAGTTCTACAGCAAATCGATATGAAAAAATATGACAATGTTCAACACAATTGTTCTTATAAGAGAGTTTCTGTAGATTTCAGTAGCTAACACATTAGTAGTAGTACTCATACTATTGTTTTAAATAATTCAACATTTAAAAATGAATGACATGCTGTACATCATTAGTCTTACCTTCATAAAAGTCATTTGCAGTGATTGTACCCCCAACAACAACTGAACATTGTAATGAAAGATTCTCAGAAAGCTTTTTTAATTCATTTACAGCGTTTAAGTCCACTTTAGTTTGTCGACGGACAGGTTTACCAAGAATACACTGAAATTCAATTTAGTCATTCAAATAATGCTACTAGACAAAAGAACTGTTAGAATATTAGGCATTTAAGATGATATCATTTCAGAAATAACATCACTGTCAAGATATGACATATGGCAATATCTTTCTGAATGAGGCGATGAAGATAAAGGTTAGCAACACATTAATCTTCATATATAACATTCAATAATGGAAACATTTCTGGACATTCGATAAAATCCCAAAATATTACGGAGTGTAAAACTGAATCATTTTAACCGAACAAAGTGAGAAAACTTAGGAAAAGTAGAATAATATGAAGCCCATACCTTTTGAGCTGAGTTAATCTTCAACTCCATAGACTTTTTAAAACTTCCTAGGACTTTAAAAGCTTATATTTCTCTTCCCCAGTAAACAAAGTTCCTACCGAATCAACACATATTTTGGATAATCAATAGATAGATATACCGAACTAGTCTATTAATTACTTATTCGAGTACCTAAGCAGACTCTTAAACACCATTCAGTTATTCACTGATTGTACATATACAGAAGATTCAAGTAGTCTGTCAAAGATCAACTTCAGACTTTTTATCAGTTTATCGAAATGAAAGATTTCAGTCTCAAATACTTCAAAGATTAAAATGAAACTCATTTTTCCTTCATCTTCAATCAACAATTCATGATTCATTATACTAAGTTTCATTAATGTTTATCTATCTAAGCTGCATACTTGTACTTAAAGTAACTTTTCAATTTATAAGAAACGAATAATTAGTAAATAAAATGTTAATTAACTGAGGTGTTGTCGTTGACTGACAGTCAATCGATAAACTATGTCTTGTGGTGCACTATTGTTTACCATATCTAAGCCACCTATGCTTACTTAATACTTTTTTCAGTGAAACCAATAACACAAATTACGTCAACAATCCAGAATAATTCAAAGATTTTACAATTCATGATATTCAAATTATTCCATACCAATTCGTTATATGGCTCTAATTTGGTATTTACGCAACGATCGGACATCACAAGTGTACCGGGCTTCACTCCTAATTTGAATGAAATAATAAAACAGACCATTATGATAATATTTTCACAAAACAACTAAGTTATTTTGCAAATGAATAAAATAACTTGAAAGTATCAGCATGAAGTTTTGAAGGTGTTGATTTTTATTTGAATCACGAACTTATCAAAGTTGGATAGTGGTCTTGAGTGCTGTTAGAGGTATGAGGGCGGTTATCACTTCCTGGTTGCCCATACCGTGGAAGGGTTCCTCTGGAGGTGCCTGAAAATGAAATTGGATTAGAGGTGGTCTTAGTGACCTGAGAGCGTGACTGCAGTGCCCAAGGGACAACTGCTTGAGGTCGGTCACACACGACTATTTTGTGATTAACTTTCATGTTAGCTCCGTACTTGTTGAGACCATACCACCAGAGACGGATATCCGTGGGATAAGGCGAGGTGTGCATTTTTAGGGTCGACCTTTTCTAACCCCACCCTTCATTGTAAGAAGGCGACATCACTATCATGCTAGTTGTTTGAAGGAACACCTAACTGCCGTCACACCTTTGTATAGTCAGCAGTACAACTTCGCCTTCGAACATTGCGTTTGTTACTTTTAGTCTTACCGTTCTTCAACCGACTGTCTGGCATGGTAGGACCTTGAGGAACGATTGTTTTGGCTAGTATAGCTCGACTGTTTCATTACGATAGGCAAGCCCGACCACCACGTCAAGGTAGCAACAACGGTTGTCCCTGGTCCTATGTTGTAACTGACTGACTGACTGAAAAAGTTGGACAACCATCACAAAGATGGAAACATTGAACGGACGGAACATGGTCGTCCAATATCGTGAGTCGACTGAAGTTTGACTTGTAAATCATCGGGTCATGCGTCAGTGGTCTAGAGTTCAAGCATTTGCATGTAAAACTGAAGATCCTGGACCCAATTTTCGACTGTGAGGTCGGGGATGTGCACTGTCGAGAAGTCCCATACTACGATAAAATCGACATTTAAAGCTTTCCGGCATTCAATAGTTGTTTCACTGAGATTGGTTAGTGATTTGAAAGCAATCAGTAAAAAATTATTTTATTGATTAAGTTTGTTTCCAATTTTTCAATGATTTATCGACAGATTCTAATAGGTTATGAAATCCTACTTATGAATTTTGATGAAATAAAATTTGATTGTTTTATCATCCAGACACTGAAAACGCTATACAATATACATATATCAAATCTAAACAAGAATCATCTTGAGACTTCCATCACTTGGTGTTATTGACTTCTTTCGAACTATAGTAGTTCTTGTATTGCAGTTTTGTATAAGAATTGATATTTTCAAATATTTCAATCTTATTCGCTATTGTAAACCATTTACACTAAGTGTTGATTGAATGAATATTCTCCAAACAATTAAAGGGAGTAATAGTCATTCAATTCATCACTTAGTGAAATATTTAAGCGAATTATGGTATAGATAAACATACATTACAAATCCGACACAACTGGAATCGAAAAAGAATCAGAGAGTGTTTTACGCGAAATTTTATACGGGAAATTATCCCTATATATCATTACTTCTATAGAAATGATGAATTTTATAAGATTAAAATAGTTGTTTTACCTAAACCACCACATGTTCCTAAACGTATAAATAATACATCTTTACAACCAGCATAATGTAATAATTTTGTCATTTCATGCATTAGAATTAATGTTGATGGTATACCAATTCCATGCTATATGTAAGAAATAAAATAATGAAGACAACCATGAAGTCATTAAAACATAATGTTGATGTTGTTCTGTTACCAACAAAAACAACAAAAGTCACACTGATGAAATTTTCAGTAAACAATCTATTTCTAAGTAACAAATTAGTCAAAGTAATTGAATTGATTATTATCAGAAGGGGGTTTTGTGAAGATTTTAGTAATTTCACTTGTTGAGATCATGAGTCTATTGAAGCTAGATCACTATGGAAAACCTGGAAGCACTGAACGGCGAGGCGAGATAGTGGATGCGCACTGCTGAGGAGTTCCACAATAGGACGAAACGTCCTATGTCCATAATTATTATGATAATTTAAGAAGGCCAAAATTAACTATACGTTAATCAGTTCGACAATGTTATGTGTTAAAAATGGTGAATGTTTACAAACTATTACAATAATTATAGACTGATAACTGTAGAGCTTGGTGATGAACATATTGAGAACAACTGTTTGCTCAAATATTCTTTATTTGGTAACATTTACTTTCTATTCGTCTTCATAAACCCAACTATTAGATAAATAATGAACACAATATTTTGGTCAGCCTTAATTAGTTGAGTAATTATATTGATTCGTTTAAACCGTTATAACCAAAGACCACGACTTAGCGAAATGGTCTAGGGATTAAACACTCACTGAGAACTCTCCGGGTCCTAGGTTCCAATTCTGAAAGCCTTGTGTACCTGTACTCATTACGAGTCACATACTTCAGTGAAACAATCGTTCAGTTCATCGTAGGTCTTGATGATTGTTTCAACAAAGTCAGTCAATTATTTAAATGATAAAGTTTTTTTTAACTACCAAAACATGATTTATTCACCAAGTTTATTTGATTTGTAGTTTATATTCATTGAAAAGTACATCACAACGAGTATCGGTTAACAACAACAACAAAACAATGTTTTTAAGGACAATTTTTGCAAATAAATTATCCTAATCAAAATTTCATTATTAACTTACATCTGCAAATAATATATGATCTACTTTGTAAAGTACAAATCTAGCATGAGAACCGGCAATATTTTCTACAGGTAACTGTATACCAGCTAATTTAGCCATTGATATAGCAAAATTATGAATTCTATTACTGCTACCACATACACAGACGAACTATTTAAAAAAGAAAAGACAAAAGATTATCTAAGATAAATTGCAAATTATAATTTGACTTCATGATGACAATATGAAGAAATGAAAATATTCTCATTGAATCAATCATTAAACATTGAGATTAGATGGTGGTTGGAGGTAGTCAACAGGAAATCCTGGATCCAGGTTTCGGGTTACTCGGCACTCGTCAGCAAGGTGTACCTGTTATCTTGAGGGAACTGGTTCTCCCTGACGAATTCAATCCCTTGTTACCCAGCTTCACAGTCAGAGACGTTACCATAGAGCTACCCGGGCCGTGATGTAATCACAACTGGTTGATCACTGGGTGGTGATCAATGTCATGTGTGTCAAGTCCTTATTTAGTGCAGATCGAATGTTATCGACCAAGTTGCAATGTGGCCACCAGTCTACGTGACTCGACATTACTTAACTCTAGTCAGTTTATTTTATTTCTAAACACAAAATATTCTCTACACCAAATCATTTCCAACTAGTTGAATGTAAATATAAACAGTGAAACAAGGTAGATAATTACATGAAAGAATCTGATGGCATTCAACTATTTATTTTACACGATGGTAGTTTGACAGTATGAATACCAGACAGTGTACATAAAAATAACTCGTTTTTAGTGATAGTAGTAATAACAATTGAAGATTCTTAATGTTCATGAAATAATCTAAGTAGTATATATACCAAATTCTTTTCCATTCTATGGTATACATTTTTAGTCTATGAAAGAGATATGTGTAAAACCGGAACAATAAATCACTTACAAATTTACATGCGTCACATTCATTCAATGAATGAATAAATCAAGAGATAAGTTTATGGAGGATTTACTGCACATGTAAAAATAATACTTGAATAAATACTATCAAAATGAACCTAGGAAACTATTGACCATTGTATAGATATTAATCTTTGAAAAGACATACAATCACTTGTTTGCATGTGAACAATTAAGATGCTTAATATATTTCACTCAAATCAGGAAATGATTTTATATTTCTATGGAAACTATAATCAACTTAATTTTACTTAGCAATTCATTTCCAAATTCCTCAACAGTTAACTATATCAAATTCAATAAACATAATTACGTATACAATACTGAAGAGAAATTAATTCTTGTCGACTATGTAACAAAATGAATGAATTAACAATGAAAATTACCTTGACATCACCAAACTTTTGTTTAAAATCAAATGACTTTGTTGTGAATCCAAAATGATGGAAGATATCTTCATCTAGTTCATTCAAATGACTATTCAGAATCGGCTGCATTGTGCACATTTTTAATGATAACTGTTATATTCAAATATTAGGAATATATATATTACTTCAAACGTGTTACTCTTTAATCTATTGAATACAATAATCATTTTATGTAGCACTAAAATATTTGATTGGATGATCATCTCAATCAGATTCTAGTCTGCATACTCCAGGCCAATCAAAATATGTGTATACCTATTGGATGAAACTTGTCTTTATAAACACTTTTTTTTCAGTTTACTAACCATTCTCAATCACATTGCTTTAAAGCCAACATCAAGACAATATTTTCAAACAAAATAACACTTCATCTAATCACTTTCATTATCAAATATTAAGTTATTTAGTATTCAAATTGATTCTAATCACCAACTGTTTAGTTAGGTAACTAACCAAATATCTGATTACTAAAAATTAATAAACGTTCTAACGTTAGTTATTCACATGTATATTTGACATGTGAGCCATTAAGGATTATCATTACTCTGAAATGTATTACTGTACTTATATAAGCTTCAAGAAGAATAACCGATAAAAAATATCTAAGGTACAGTCTCCCAATCGTTTTTAATGGATTAATTGTAATGATCCAGTAAATTAAACAGGTGTTAATAGTAATACATCATCGGAAAGAATTCAACAAAATCCCAATGTTCGTCTGAACTGATACAGGCATTCATAATTCACACTTTTAGAAACAATCAAAACAGCTAAACCGTATCAAGTGTGAGGATGGTACCCTCCAAAGACAATGAAAGATGATCGCGAAAAACTATAAGGTGACTAGAACAAGACTTATACACTGCCAGATTCCAGTACAGTGCTCTAGAGGTTGACTGTTTAAGAGTGGGATCGAAGGTCTCGAGTTCAATCCACGCTCTCAGGGTCACGGGTGTGCAGTGCCGAGCAGTCCCATACAAGGACGAAACGGCCATCCAGTATCTCCAGGTTTCCAATGCATGTCTAATTTAAAATGCTTCGTGATTTCAACGGAATATCAACGATCTACACAACTCTATACTGATAATCAATATAGTATCGGCATTAAATTACTTATCCTATAAATTGATCAAGACTATAATAAGCTTAAAGTGACATAATTTCTGAAGATTTCGAACAGCTTATAACCAATCCGTATTCCCATATACTTTTTTACTAAACACAGCAAATTAGTTCAGTATGTTAAATACTTAAATCACCTAAATACGAAATCGAGAAAGCTTACATAAATCCTTGAATTCATTACAATGTTTAAAGTCTCTTACAGTTATTATCAATCATCGTTTACCAGTAATTTCTATAGTAAAATTCATCATTCCACGTTTACTCACGTTCCACTACTCGGTTATTATTTGTTACATTATTTGAAAATAATATCAACACTGATTGTGATCAGATAAATCAATCCACAGTAAGTGAACTGTTCCGTTTTAAAAAGACACAAATAGAGTTACTACAATGTGTCACATTATTTTACCCAAATACAAATTACTACTGACTAAGAAGTTAAATACCAGTACCAAATACATAAATTGCATAGTTCATCAGACGCTTCAAATATGAGTGATCAAATTAACAATGTGTGCAACAGTTGTATGAACTAACTAGGTAATGATGACATTTTTCTTATCAATAATATGATTCGCCACACCAGTAAACTAAATCTTTAACGTAAATCGATTAACTTGTTTCACCACTGCACAAATTCCATCATAAAACCTTCGACTATTGTAAGACTTTCATATCATATAGATGACTAATAAATTACTTGAGTTCTATATAGGTTACAGACAGAAAACTTATATAAACAAGAAAGATTATACGGAATGTGTATTTTTTAAACTTCAAACATCTATATACAAGAGATAACATCATAGAAAGTCAAATTAATACAAGATCTGTCAATAATACATGAATCTCAATAAAAATATTATCATAATATAATTTAAAGATGTCTAGAATTCTATATCGATCAAGTTTCATTCATTTATTTACTAGAACTATCAGCCAAACCAATTTGGGATCTTGATGAAGCTAACTCACTGCATCTCTGTAGAATCCAGTCAAGTGAAACTAACGGTCCACGAGAATCCTGAAATTAAAGAAAGGATAACCGAGAGAAAAGTCAAGTGAATAATTTCATGGTCAAAAATACATGTTATCCGTCTAGTGAAAAATATTCTTCACAAGAGTCTAGAAAATAATGAGGTCTGTATTAATCAAACAATAACAAAATATCTATATTCACCACTCCTTCATGCTACGGACATGTCAAGTGTAGCCCAACCAGGCATGATGGAAGATAAATTGCAACACAGCAAAAGTCATAACTCCAAATAATTCTATAATAGAAGTTATTCCAAGATACCTGCAATTTAATGACTAAATGGACAGAAACATAATTGTAATTACTGACTACGATACACTTAGATGACTTGAAAACGTAGAGTTTATCCCCAGCTGTAGTTAACGTTCAAATCAAACTGATCAAAAGTCCGAAAACTATTTTGTGTCTGAAGATAAATGATTGGGTAAGATGAGATTGCAGAAAAAAAAAGCAAATATACATGGAACATTGGGAGAGTGTAGGATTTTTGATTGAAGGTATAAAAGTCAGCCATTTAAATTCTATCTGATGGTAGAGTTTAAAACCGACCACAATAAATGTGTAATTCTGACCAAGTACTCACTTGTCCTTGCTAAGGTGATCATAAGATTATGCGAATTTCGACAACAATATCAAAATCTTACTAGAAACGATAATTCTGAGTGCGTCAAAACCATAATATACCGATGATCTTGAGTGAAGCAATCAGAAATAAGACAGTGGCTCATAGATTTTTGCAAAAGATCAAAAATACAGTAAAAGCTAGACCACCATCGAAAACCTGGAAGCACTAGACGCCCGTTTCCTTCTAGTATGGGACTCCTCAGTAATGCAGATCCAGTGCTTCGATTTCCAGTGGTAGTCTAGATTAGATCGACTCGTGAATTCACTAACTTTTGATATAACACTTTTTTCCCTTCATAAATTACAGATATTTAGGCTTCTTACCGTTTCCCCTAATTTTGTACTACAAATGATTTAGTTATGTATAGATTTTTTATTTCCTGTTCATTATGAATTTTGGTTTTATAACTGATGGATACTAACATGAAACAGTAATAGAAAATACATCACCTTGATGCTCTAACATTAAAAGAAGAATCTTCTTGGTAGAATAATAAGCCTTAATATATTTAATGAGGACGCTCCTTAAACGAGAGCAGTTCATAGTATTAGAGCAATCCAAACTCAGTAACTCCATTTGGAGCATCATCTAGACCGTTGAAAATCTCCCTTAAAAGTTCAAGGATCTACAAGTAGAAGAGTTATGACGCCTTATAGTGAAGGCTGAAATTCTTTAGAAGTCACAACGTCGATGTCACTTCCGACAATCAACACAACAATTAACACAGATACATAGAATTAAACACGACTCAATAATTTAGTGATCTAATTAAGAAGGCATACTTATTGGAAGCAAACAGAATTTGAATTTACAGCAAAAAGCATTTACACATCCATAGGGTTGATAATTTTTTGAATATAGTCATATTTTATGATATTTAACCGAAGTTCGAAACAACGTTATTAACAGAATGAAACTTTAAAGTTTGTTCTCTTCTTTTCTCTCATTTAATAACACCAATAATGTTAATCACTGAATCTAGTGGACAATTTCATCAAATGATCCCTTAAAGTTGCACTAAACTATTCCATAATTTAGACTCACTCTTTCCTTCTCTCTCTCTCTTTCTAATAATCAACCGATTCACAACTACAATATTCGTGAAAAAGACTACAGAGTGTAAATAAATTACAAAGAAATTTTATCACATCTTTAAACTAACCCAAACTGTTGGACACAATCGATAGGCTAACTGTAGAACTGATGCATAACCAGATATTTCAGCTGCTAATGTAGTATTTACATCAAGAAGAGTAGATGTACCAGAATTAGTCGTTGTATTAGCGGTCGTACTACTTACATTATTATTAGTAGTAGGGGAATAAAGACTTGAATTTAGACTATTCAACGTGGAATCTAATACACCAGAAGTAGTATTAGTAGTAGTAGAAGAAGAAGAACAAGAGGAAGATGAAGAATTACGTGAATATGAAACACAATGAAGTCGATAGATTTGTGTTAAAATTTCATTAGTTAAAAAACCTTGTGAAGTTATACACGAAATATCAGAACTAAATACAAACGTATGATCTTTTGAAATTTGTTCACTAATTTTATTAGCTAATGATAATGATAATTGGGTTAGCCAATTCAACAAAGTAGGTTGTATCAGATTGAATGCACGTCTAGCTAAATAAACACGATCACCTTCACCAAGAAATCCTCTCCTAATTTAACATGTAAACAAAAGAAAACAAAGATAACAAAATGTGAGTCAAACAAAGTCACAAGAATTATTACTATTATCATCATGAATATAAATACCATTGTAATTGTAAATAATAACTAAGCTAATGATGAACTATGAAATTTTAAGCACGTGTACCTAATTAATGTTTATAATTTTGAATGGAAACACGTATGATTATTTGTAGCTTCAACAAAAGATGTTGCTTTTTCCTTTTCTTTATGTTTAATAGTCTAAAGAACAATCTTAACACAATACTATGGACAAAGATATTTAATAAATATCTAAGTCATAAAGTTCACTATATTGAATAAGAATCATCTCAGTTATATCTTATCAAGAGTGAGTATTCAGAACGTGAGTTAATTCAATGTAAACAATGAAAATAACTAATTCTATTTAGTTTAATAATCTGAAGATGATTGAAATTCTCTTGATGATATATGTTAGTGATCAATATATAATTCGCAATACCATAGAGGCAAATGACAGATTTCTCATCACAATATGATACTTCTAAGCAATCTTCAACAACCTATATGCCATGAGGAATAAATCATTGAAGTATTTGGGTTACTTTAGGAATCAATGTGTTACGAATAATTAATTCATAATCTTAATTTTATTTAATCCACGATATAATCTCGAAGTGATCCAATTTCATAGACTTCATGGAAGTAACTTTGTAAGCATAAAATGTAATTATCATTACCATATTTGGAGTGACGATCTCGAATATATTGAACATTCGCTAGATTGTTACTAATAAAAATAATATTTTCTTTGTAATATCCTGATGGGTAGGAAAATTACACATTCTGACGTTTGATGACTTAGCGTAAGCCACTTCTTCAGAGAATAAATTAATTCATTAAATTAACAAAATTTTAAATAAGGAACAGGGAAGCAAAGCAAAAGTATTTAGTCCGACCAATCGAAAATAAGGTCAGACTAAGTCAATGTTATTTGATTTATGTGGGATATGTCTCGTATTTGTGTGTGTGTGTGTTAATGGGTGAAAAATGTGAAATTTATAACATAAAAAGACGTGGTTGAGTTTGTACGCATAATAATAGTGTGGAATTTGGACAGAATCATACATGTTAGTCAGGATAAATGATCGAAGTCGGATGTATAGTGAGCCCTTCATTTCTAGTGAGGTCAGTAAGGTTAAGAAATATATGGAAAGATTCAGCTATCGACCTTTCTTTGTAGTTCGAAAAGCGACATTGCATAATCCTGGTATTGTAAGTATCAACTTGATGGTTATTGAGGATGGGATGCATAATTATTCCCGATATAATACGGAATCTTTACAGTATTACACGATAAGACCATGGAAACAATATCAGCTCCACTAATGACAACGACGTGTTATGAAAACTGTTTATCACATAACTTCGTTTCGCTTAACCTTCCGAAAGTCGGAAGACGAAATTCTGCCCTGCAAACAGACCAAAAGCACTTCCTGAGATATAGGAGAAGGAGTGATTAAATAAAGAAAATTTTTCTGTCCCATTCACTAGAATCTTCCACTTTTTGTCTTCTAGTTTATACTACTTATTAATATTAAGTAACATCAATAGATTTAAAGTATTTTACATGATGACAGCACAAACATGAAATAAATTAGGTTCAAATCATCCATAAAAACTAACTTCTCTTCCGGAGGTTGTTTCCTTAATTGATGAAATATTTGCACTAAACGCCTCCAATCACCATGATCATGAAGTAGAGATAGGGTTAAACAAACTGAACGGTACATATGAGCTGCAAAATTACCACTTCGATCAATATCAGCCGTTGGGATACGCCAAACACCCTGTAAAAAAATTCAAACACATCATAATCAATCATCGTACATTTGTGCTCATTTTGGGATAATATTATCGGTAAATAAAATGTAAATACTTTTGAAGTACACATACACACATATCTCCAAACAAAGACTTCATAATATCAAAAGACTTCAGTCAATCATAAAATAAGGACTAAATACAACTGCACTACAATGATGAATTCTAAACCACGTCATCAAACTTCTCCAACTACTAGTCGTGGTTATCGCCCCAAACCCAATTAAATAGCTGTCAACCTACCTACTGACGTCATTGATGCCATATCTTAGTTCCACCAACCTCTAGCTTCAATCCAATTTACTCTTACACAAGCTTGTATGGCAAGTCGGAATGGGCAATATTTGAGCAAACGTAGTGACACGTCGCCTAATTTATAATGTACGATAATGAAAGTAGATATTTGATTATTTTATCATGTACTTCCAAATGATACAAAAGGTTTCATTGTTCGTAGTCTGTATAGGATGTTTCAACAAAAATGAAATCAATCAAATAACTAAGAAAAAGAAACAGTGGTGAGATTACAATTTATGGACAAACCAATAAGATTTAAGGGAGAGAGTGATGCCATTTGACCATTTAGCTAAATAGAATCGTGATATTATAGCTGATGTCAGTTCGTGATGAAAAACAGAACTTTAATTCCTAACCATAAATCCCTATTCTGATTTATAACACTCTTTAGACCCTAGTGCGTAGGTGGATTTTCCCAAGATCACTTAGGCGTCACTCATAGGGACTCCACAAATAATAGTCTCATTGACATAATAATCTAAATGCAATTAAAAATATTCTACATAATACGGATAACAAGTGAATAATAATAATAATAACATACATAGAAAAAGTTATTCTGTTTCCTATCTTTGAATAAACCTCCAATATTCAAATGAGTAGATGCATTTGTAGTGTTAACATTATTGTTGTCGTTCAAAGTGTTAGTATGAGTAGATGCCAAATGTTTTTGAGATTCATCTGTTGGTCCCAATAATATATCCAATGCTTTACAAGGATCCTATAACGTGGAAGCAATCATAACACAGTAATACAAGTAAATCGAAATATATTAACAAAGCATTTGGTCAATAATTTCTACAAATTTAAATCGCATCTATTTAAAAATTAGTTAGGATGATAAGTTCATTATTTATGAACTCCTTGTTTGATTCTAAATCCTCTCTCTATATGAATTACTTTACCAGTAAATTTTCTAGACTCTGGAATAATTTACCATAAAATTGCTCCCATTCTCTGTTCGGTGCATCGATGTTTAATTGTTCCATGAAAATACCTTTTTGAAATTACAGGAACTTAAGGATTTTAATCGTTTTTATTAATGAGCACACTAATTGGATATGTGGAAGAGAATGATAATGATTGGTTGTTTGCTTAGTCAGACATGCAGGTAATCTGACAGGCGTTAGATGAGTTATATATTCCCCAATCCATATTATTACTATTAACATTATTGATTGTTCATTGTTGTTGGATTGTGTCGGGTTTTTTGTGTGGAAATATATTTACGTTCTGGTCAGGCTAATCGCATGTTCTTGATCTGAGTTGTGTTGAAGTCCTGTAGAATAAACGCTGCGGGGGAATCTAGTGTAGATATTCGTCCAAGAAATTCTGAACCTTGGTTTTGTGCTACTTGGCTGACGAGTGCCAATTAGCATGAAATCTAGGTCCAGAGTTTCTTATTGACTACCTCCATCCACCATCTTATCTCAACATAGAGCACGCAATGTCAAGTCACCTAGACTGGTGGCCACATTGCAACATGGTCGATAGGATTCAATCTGCACTAAGAAGGATCTGACATACATGACATTGAACATTACCCAGTGATCAATCAATTGTAAATAAGTATATATTTTGATGATTATCTTGTCAATACATTGCGACACTGATATTCGAACGAAGGAAATTCTTTTCAATAGCTTCTCATCAAAGTCTACATGTATAAATCTAAATGAACATTTTTCAGTGATAACCATGTTTGAAATAAACAAATTTTTATTAATTACAGCGTATTAATCTATAATTCTTAGTACAATAAAATAAAAAGTGTTAATCCTGAGATGTCTACTATGCAATAAATTAACGTCCCATACGTGTAAATGTGGGAAACCAACCGTTATATTATAATTAAACCTCTCTACCTGTTGATACTTAACATCGACATCACCCCTGATAACCTGAACTAATCTGAATAATATCTAACCCGAATAGATCACAAAATAACCTAGCACATGTATTAATGTAGATGTGACTGACTGATTTGTTATTATTACTTTTATTGTTTCATGCTCTCTGTTATTGTTTTATTTCCCCTAGATTTAGGTGGTTATAATCACTCCTTCACGGGACTGCAAATGACCTTAAATGAATCGGTCGTATATCAACAAAATGTCTACTTAAAAAGAATTAATAGTTTCAGATTGATGCCTTGAATTACTGTAATACATGTGAAAAATGTAATACATAAACAATTTTTGAGGAAGAACACTTCAAGCAATTTACTATCACATATATCCCCTACATTTAATATTCCTATCTATATCAAGGTGACTATGCTTGTAAACTATCATGAATTCTGTAATAATAATTATTATTGTTTTCCAAATATGTAAACATATAAACCTTAAAGAATGTAAGATTATATTTGACCATGTGTATCGAAAGATGTTGATGAAATGTCAATTTAAAGCTTACGAATAAAAATAACACCTACAATGAATAAATTCTATGATTAAAAAACAAACAAGAAATACATCAATTTAATCAATGAAACAGGTCATAAGATTGATCTTAACTCGGCTTTTGTGGTGTTGTACAAAAGTATAAGAGGACGTATACTAAGGTTTATTGAAGCCTTAGCCATATGAAAATGCAAACCCCCTCTGTGTATTCAACAACAGTTTGTTCTCACCTTAAACTTACCCTGGTAATATTAGCTTATTATCTAGAGTGATGAGATTTCAAATTGTTTTCACATTATTATCCTTGTCTTCTCTTACCCTCCATTTGACGTCTAGTTGACCTATTATTTTTATAGATAAATGTTCCTAGCAAGTATATTGTGTGTGATCAGATTGTTCGAAATGTATTGCGCTAATATATCATATAGTTCTGATGATCTTCGTCTTCTTATTACAACACTATCGAAATTTATCAAAGGGACTAATTGTTTTAATTTTAATATCTATCTTGAATAAAGTACGAACATTTTTGAAAATATACCTTCATCAGTCAATTCACACCAAATGAATAAATATATTTTCGAAATAATAATATCATCAAGAAACAATAGATTTATCTTACTTTTAAATGGGGAGCATGCAAATATAGAGAGGCTAGTCGATACATTGCTTTATAATGAAGTGGTAATCTTTGAAGTACCAATTCTAAAGCACAACGGCAACGATCAATACACTTTTTCCATAAACCTTAAACAGTTAAAATTATTGAATAGAAGTAAGAAAACAAAAACAAAATCTGTTATACATTAACATTTGCAATGAACAGTTGAAAGCGATGGTGTAAATTCATAGTTTAAATAGATTTTTTACATCGACTAGATGCTGAAAATTTTATTCAGAATGATAATTAGAGTCTCTGAATAAAACTGTCTATCGTTTAAGAATTCAACAATATTAAAAATTGTAAATAGTATGTGTTTTTCGAAACATAAAGTGTGAACAAAGTGGTTTATGATTAGTATGTCAACATTTTATTAGGGATAATCTATGCTGAATATATTGACAATTCTACTCATAAGGTAGCTCGCTATATTTTTCACTAATTCTCTGCTGATTAATAAGACAAGAATAACGTTAATTCATTTTTTTATTGTTTGTTTGAATCTTCCCATTGATGTTTAGGACTGCAATTGATCAATCCCTTATTATCATATATGCATCCTGCGCAGATTGCCTCGGTATTACCTTGAGTCACAAGCATTATAAGCAAAGATGGATGGTGGCTAGCATTGGAATCCAAGACGCGTGTTTCGTTCTATTTGAGACTTGTCAGTTGGGTGTTCCTGCATTTCAGAGTTAGTGTTCGTTAAGTCCGAGTTCCGGAGTGAACATCAAATCTGAGATGCAGGTACATCCAGCTGACGAGTCCTAAATAGGAGGAAACGTGCGTCGTGGATTCCACTGTTAACTACCATTCATTTTCGCTCATAAGAATAACTTAAATTTCTTAATTTAAAATATTGATAGAGACTGTGAAATATTTATTACAAACTTCAATAGTAAATAGACAATTCACTTTCTTGTTATTATTACAAGTGTTGTAAAATGGTTAAGATTGAAATGATTGAAATCTGAGTGGCGAACAAATATGGGGACTTATAACATATGATCTATGGAGATCTAAAGAGATTATCATCACTTGCTGAACTATAGATAAGATTTTAAAGTGAAAAACGCAACAACACAACGACCAATTGAATAGTGTTAGACTTGAAATAATCAACCATAAAATAGAAAAAAAAAACATGAAAACATTAACAATGATGATAATGACAGATAGATAAGTAAAATGTAGATACTTCCAAAGAGAAAACGCTTACCTAGCTTATTGACACATTCGTTAATCGATGAACGTGATGATGATGGTTCCAGTAACTTTGTAGATTCCTCTTCATCAACTACTATATGTGGATCAGGTGAAATGAGATCAATAAACTCATCTTGTGATGGAATGGTATTTGGGTTAAGTTTAATATCTAATGGTTGAACCAATTTATCTGCGCCAGATTCTTTGATATTAGTTTCATTTGTTCCCATTTGTTTGTTGTGATTGTCACAAGATCCAAGATGATTAGTTGATTTTTGAAGTTGATTGTGTTTAGTAGATAATCCTGCCATATTGGCTGTTCGTTTACGAGTTCTACGACTGAAAAAAACAGAGAGCATAGTGCATGCTAGTCTACAAATTTTAACATTAGATTACGCAATAAAAGCACCTGATTATGTTTCCATATACAATAGAATACAGGAGGTGATTATATTTAGTCACTTAAAAAGATATAGTATATTAAAGTACTAAAAATAGAAGTATGGTCTGCGCTTTATTCAAGACGAATTGTATGACATCAATATAAGAGAAGTTACATTGACTGTCATCACGTTAAAAAAAGTGTTTCTTAAAAGAATCAAAGTAATGACAAATGTTAGACGCTAAGCCTAACAAATATACTTGAAAAGCTCTCGTAGAAATCCCAGTCCCAGCCAATATGATGTGAATGAACTCGAAGATCCTAAAAGAAATAGCGAATTATGAGTCGCAATTGTTACGAGTGAACACTTTTGGGATGATAACGTTTTGTACACAAAACATGGTTTGTGAACAAACGTAGATTTTCAAAACAGTCACTGTTGTGTAACTATACGACACTTTAAATTTGCCGAATGATTTCGAAATGAAATAAATTTTATTTCGATAAAATCAACCTACAGTGTGAATATGTTCTTGTAAGGATATACTGAATATATGTATGTATTTCACCAATTATTGAAATTATACCTCGAAACGAACTGACTCCATTTAGTTGGCTAGGATGTGTTACAAATGAATGAAGTGGAAAGGATCTAAAATCAACTACCTCAACAATGGGAGAACAGTAGTTCATTTATTAAAAGTGAAAATGATCTGAATCTTTGTAAAACTATGAAATTTTTGTCACCTTTTTGTTGTATTATTTCAGTTTATAATTGAAATAATTGTAGTACTAGTAGCTTACTTGAAAAAATTCACGAAATTTTATTAACGGATAGGTGATATAATGGTAAAAAAAGTGCAATTTTATCCAAGCCATTGGCAGCAAGAAATTTAAAGTGCTCAAAACAGTTAATTCGAAAATCTGTTCAACTAACTACTGGAACGTCAAGAAATCTCAGATACAGTACATGTTGTTGAAAAGTCAAACGGACCACATGTTGTCACAAGGCTGGATGAGAAGTAAAGAATGCGAGTGTAACCCATTTATGATGAGATAGTGTTATCCCCTCTTTAGTCGAAAGTACTATATATATATATATATATATATATATATATATATATATATATATATATATATATATATATATATATATATATATATCCGATACACACATAGTTATCAGTATGGATCGTGGACATTGTTGGATTTCAATTAAGTCACGATCCGAGAAACCTCAGGCAACAAGACGACATCGGACGACTGTTTCTTCCTAGCATGGGACTAATCAGAAGTGAGCATCCTTATTAGTATTTATTATTTAAACACATAAACATTGGTACTAGGAGGCACCAAGTATATATGCACCACACTTCGTCATTCGATTACGTGAAGGCTGTGATACTGCCCGGGTACCCTAACCGAAGCAGGTGGTTTTCATACGGGGCCACTCACCGAGCGTTTGACTTAAACATCTGTTCCATAAAACAATAGAGCAACGTTGGAAGATACAGTCCCATCATAGCCGGTGAAAAACAATAGGTTCATACAACATTCAGTCCCTCAGGATCCTTTGGTTTGGAACCAGGGCTTTCCAAATCCATGAGGTGGATCTTACGTACCCACCAACCCGGTTTAACCGTCGGATATTCTCATTTCGTAAACAACACTCTTGTTGTGATAAGGCAATGAGAAGGACTTCCCTGGCAGTGGCTTTATGCACGTGGCCACGCATCCACGATCCTGGATCCGGGAATCGAACCCAAGACCTTTGGTATCCTGTGTAAATGCCTAATCTCTAGATCACTAAGCCGGCATCTAGTGGTGTACATGTCTAACTTTAATCAATCTATGGTACTGAGGCATCTCCCATTATCTTAAGTGAGAAAATTCCTCCCACCCGACCCGGTTGAACTTCACTGGTCACGAGTTTTCACTCCAAGAATCATATCTTGAAGCTATTATCTACGGAACACATGATAATTATCATGTATTGTGGAGATTTTCAAATTTTATATTTAATAAACTTCAAACATAAATAAGCACCGTTTAATGAAGTAATTTAAAATCCCCAGAAACACATAAATTACCATGGCTTTTTTGCACTTGTAACAAAATCAGATGAATCAATCATAGTCAGAAATTGGTCTAATTCTATTAAATTAATTGGATAAATAGAATAAGTCGATTGTGAAGATTGATTAGTAACAGTAGTAGTAGTAGTAGTAGTAGTAGCAGGTGGTCCATGCTTTAATAATGTTTTAAGAGATAATGCATGAATTCTGTAATAAACCTAAGGAGAAAAAATTAAATACCATATTAAGATGGGTATTTGCAAAATAATCATTTAAAATATCTATCATATACAACTTTACCTGCTTCAGTCTGGGCACCCGGGCAGTATCACAGCCCACACACACACAAATATGGTGTGGCGCATTTATACTTGGTGCCCTCTTGTACCAATATTTATGTGTTCAAATAATAATAACAAATAAATAAATCAGCGCTAATAGACAAGTGAAAAAGATACGAGAAAAGTTTTACATGCATTTTATATAAATTCCAATATTTTTTACTATTGTATCTCCTTTATTCTTTAGATTCAATGGAATCATACAATGTTCATCTCCACTTTTTTTTCTAATTTTGAAAGAGTCGAAGGAAGTGTAGTATTTAAAGGGATACTAGATATATGAACTAATCGAAGTGCTGATATGGACACTGTAGAGATTTCTTGATACCGATTTTATCGAGACTAATAGGATTGAACAACAAGAACACTAGTAGGATATTTAACAAGGTAAATTTGTAAAGGCCGGCTTCTTAAAAATAATGTCAGTAATATTACTCTAATTTCTGACATATATTTAATATGAGTACAGGATATAAGTAAACGGATAAAACCGACAAATAACTCTATATTACTTAATAACAATAAACAAAATTCAGTTTAACATCATTCCCTACATATTCAAATAAATAATAGACCAAGTAGTGTGTACAAATATATGTAAATATTAAGTACGTATTTATGGTTTGAATCTTCCCATTGACGTATAGGACTGTAATTGTTCAGTCTCATTGGTATATGTACATCATGTGCGAACTGATTCGATAATGCCACCAATTCAAGATGATTTTATATATATTCAAGTCAACAAATATTTTCATATTTCTTTTAAAGAAGAGATGGATGATGACTAGCAATGGAATCCAGGAAGTAACATAAGCAAGCAATTCCAGTTGACTAGTCTCATATGAAACGAAACGCGCGTCTTAGTTTTCACTGCTAACCACCATTCACCTCTGCTTAAAAAAGTAAGAAAATATTTGTTGACTTGAACATAATTTATTCGCCGTAGTTATTATCATTACTACTATTAACAGGCAGTACTTTATTTTAGTAATCTATTTGCCAGATACAGATTGGTGTATTAAGCTTAAAGCCAGTAATATTATCCGATTGCCCAAACCAAGGTAGGTGGTATGCATTTCGGTTGATTGGAAACTGAACAATTTAACCACAGGGCTAGCGCTTTAACAACAATTAGACTTCATAAAGAGTAAAATTTTAAAAAAAAACTGCAGTAAATACATACTTCAATTGCTTCGACAGCTCTAAAAGGTATTTTATTATAAACGATAATTTTTTTCGGATATTTTGCACCAGCTAAATCTAACGCTTTCAATGATTCATGATATAAACGTAGAACATGCATTAAACAAGATCGTGAAGATGAGGATGACTTGGATGAAACTGATGAATGTGTATCACCAGATTGTTGCATAAGTTGTATATCTTTCTCAGCGCATTTCGCTAACATATAATGACATAACCATGCTTCTTCTTCTTCTTTACTCTGTTGAACTAATTTGTTTGTATTATTACTATTGTCAGACAAGTGATTTTCTAATCTACTATTTAAATGTTCATTTTTATTCATTGTATCATTTGTTGTTATTTCTTGTGTAATAGTCGTTGTAGTGGTTTGTTGATGTTTTATAATATTGCATAAATTCAGTACACTTTCATAAGATGAACGGGCTAATTGTAACATTCGATAACGCCATTTACGACAGAGATTCAAGTGAGCATCTGGAAAATTCCTATATTCTGACTGAAAAATCATGCCAAAATAGGAAATGAGGCAATGGCAGAGAGAAAAAAATCAGAATAAGGACAAAATGATTCTGTTTAGTATTAAAAATCGATTATATAATCATGTATTGTAATATGCATAAAAATACATTTCACTATCATCAGTTCAAAAAACCCTTACGCTACATATTTCCCAATATACGAATATTACATTTATAACCTGTTTCAGATTTGGACCATGTCTATTCAAACTTGGACAATACATGCACTCGCCAACGTCAAAATTGCTACAATATCACCTGTTTTCCAGTACTTTATAAAAACTCCAAATTTATCACACAGTTCTATCATATAAAATTCTTTAATAACTTATCGCTAAATATTTTTTGAATGTTTAGGTGGAGTTTTCTTTTCTGAGCTGGATGGTCGTGGACCTTTCATTGTTCTTCTGAACAACATCATAAAAACAAACTTCACAAACTATCTGAAGTTTATGTTGATGAAGTTGTTCAGAAAAATAATGAAAGCTTCGTGACCAAACCATAAAGCTCAGAGAATGAAACTCCAACTAAATCATCAACCTAAGCTACAAATCTTCTCCAACCATTTTTTTAGAATACTCTGTTGTACGGAATTGATCTTTTTAATGATTCTACATGAGTAGTGTTACTCAATTCACTAATCCATGCTGTAAATTAGTCATGAACCTGTTATTATCAGGAAAACGTTCTTTCTTTGAACTGTATAACTATGAGTGCTAAATGTATCAATGCACGCGCTATTATTAAAAGTTTTACGAATTATTATGATATAAAATACTGGCAAACTGAGACGAAAATATCGCAGTTTGTTATATCCTAGCGAAAATTAAATTACGAGTAGCTTCTCAGAACTATTAATGGGCTTATATATATATATATATATATATATATGTTGGGTCGGCTTCCGGAGAACTTCGACGGAGCCTCCAGAGGCCCAAAAAGGAGCCGAAGGACCTAGCCAACCAGAGTATGATGGAACGTTCGAGAATTCCAGCGTGGCGTGCTACCATTGGTCGGTAGCATAATATGACGTTAACGGATTGGCTGAAATGTGATGTTGATTTAACAGACGCCAACATCTATAAATACCCTTGATTTTCTGTACTAAAATGAACCTTGGAATAAAGTGCTTTCTCTCATTCTTGTGTCTTCTCTCCGGAGTTCAAGTCGCTGTGTAGTTCTAGGCTGCGGGTTACCGAAATAGCTTAGGAATCGTATATAGCGTTCAACCTACACGACTTATCAATATATATATATATATATATATATATATATATATATATATATATATATACCTATTATATAACTAGTCAGTAACTATATTATGTATATCTATATTCCCCTTGTCATAAGCTTCATTTTGGTCTATAGATTATTATTATTATACAATTTACTGTTCTTATGTCCAGTTTATTGATTACTGTCTCCCATGTTCACAGCCACATTTTGGCTTAATCATGTATAAATGTTATGTCCTATTTTACGGTGAAATGCAGTCTGTTTGGTTGGTATATAAACCAAGTATATTTGGAATAAAGGATTCGCATAGCCGGGTTAGTGTGCATCTACGAGGGTTGAAAAATACTGGTTCCAAACCAAAGGTGCGCATGAGCTTCAGAATTCTGAAGGAATAAATGGCTCACGAATCTATGGCTGGTCACCGACTACCATGAGACTGCATCTCCTAACGTTGCCCCAGTGCCTTGTGGATTAGGTCTCTAGATCGAAGGTTCGAAGGGTGAACCCCTAGTAAAACTACCCCCTTCGGTTTATGGAACTAGGGAGTATCCCAGACCTTACACAAATCGAATGACAAAGTGTGGTGCACATATACCTGGTACCTTCTTGTATCAATGTTTATGTTTAAATAAACAATAAGATCAACATTAAACATACTTTTTTCACAATTCTAGCACCATATGAATGCAATTGATAGGCTAAGCAACCACGTTCAATTAATAATGTGACAGTATCAGGTTGTAAATGTAATGCAACATTAAAACAACGTAAACAACGTGTAACAGCTTCAGCAGAAACTCGTTCAGTTTTTAGATTAGTCTAAAATATAAAAATTAAGAAAGAAATGAGTTTTCAAGCAATACAACACCACTACCATTATTTATTAAATTTTTTTTCAATTAGGAAACATTTTCAAGACAGTGATGCATTGATACTTTATAATGAATTCAATACTGGGACGAAACGGGCGTCCAGTGCTTCTATGTTCTCAATGGTGACCCAACATTGATCGGTTCATGATAAAAGTAAGATGTAATTGGTCAGTGAGCGGAGATGGACACATTCAGATACACTAAATATACGACACTACATAATGTAAACTCTTTCCATTATTAATTTAATTCGGATTTTATTCTGTAATTAGGCTGTGTTAGCAAACTATTGTTCTAGCTTATAGAGGATTCTCAATCGCTATTCGAACTTTGTGTATTTGATTTCAAGTAATTTATATAATGATCTGATGTGTCAATCAAGTGCCCAGCCTAGCTATAAATCTTTTAATCTGGTTTCAAGTCATGCTTATCCTACTGGACGTAATTAAGTTGTATTTATTATCGAATGTAAACAAATCCTACTTCTTTTTTGTCATACCACATCGCATCTCATTATGCAACTAGCAATTATACAACATTCATTGAACTTAGTAACTTCGTAGAAATTTGATACAATAAAACTATGAATAAAACTGATAAATAAACTAAGAGGGAGTTCCTGACATGAACAATTAACGAAATTAACTTTCGACGAAACCACCTGAAATAGCTTTCATTAAGAAACTGATTCTTGTAAACGAGTTTTAAATAAGGAGAGTTATAACAGAACCATGGTAGCATACAAACGGTCTTCTTCTACCAACTGAGTTAACTAAGTAATTATTCGGTTGCAGTTAAACAATGTTGATCGAAACTATCATTTAAACGATAGGCTCAAATTAATTCGCCAACCAAATAAGAACTTTTGTATGATCTGTACATGACCAACTATACTTGAAAAACAAAGCCAAAACTATGCAGTAAACTAACTAACAAATATCAATTATTTTATAGAGAAAACAGATGATAAAGACCAGTATGATTACCAAATTTAAAACTTGTTCCAATTCACTTGAATAAATCAAACCCAATGAAGCCCATGTATCTACACGTTGTGGGGAAACACATAAATCTTGTAAGTAATACTCCACAGCACGACTAGATAAAAACAGAAAACACAAAAGTAACAAATATCAACTGATCAATTCATGCTTTAACGAATAATGGTATTTTGTTTGTAAATATTTAACGAAGAAAGTATAATTTGTATTCAGTCGAATGGAAAGAAACAAATTGCCAAACAAAACAAAATGAGAAATTCAGTGTCAAGTAAATTCCAGCATTTTATTGATTTATTTGAGCACATCAATATTGGTACAAGGGGGCACCAGATAAATATGTGCCACACAAATCTCATTTGATTTGTGTGAGGGCTGTGATACTGCCTGGGTGCCCAAACCGGAGCAGGTGGTTTTCTTAAGGGGCCACACCCGGAGCCTTCGACCTAAAGGTCTGATCCACAAGGCAATTCCAGCAAGATACTGTTTATAAAAAAAATATTGAGTGGATCTTGTGTACAAATAAAAGGTTCTTACAAAGTTACATATCATGATACAATGATCCATTATAAAGCAAAAATAATGAACATGAAATGAAGTGAATTCATCCCATCTGATTATGTACTTCAATACATTAACACACGCACTGATTTGTATAAAGAAATAAATCTGTTACAATGGTAATTTCATGTGTAACACGTAAAAGTCACTTAGTTCACTATGAGGTCCGTGGAGTGGATCTTACGTACCCATCAACCCATTTTGAGAGTCAGACATTCGCATTTCGTTGTCTCAATTTCGTAAACAACATTCCCACCGTGAGAAGACAGTAAGTAGGACTTCCTTAGGAGTGGATGTGTGTATGCATGATCACGTGAGAGTATCACAAAAGGAAGAGCTAACTCTCCGCACACTCGACTGTACCAGAACATTTGGAAGTAAAAATGACAGGATAGCGAAAATAGTCAATGGAATGTAAGAAATATGTGCAAATTTTTATGATTACAAAAGATAAACATGGTGAAACTGATAACGACCACCAAAAACCAATGGTAACGTACTTTTATTAATGCCGATAATAGTTTAAATGAGTATAAGAGAAAACTGAAGTACTTAGATGTTCAAATCAAATAATCTTAAAATAACAAGATTAGTTAAAAACGGCTACAAAATGAAAATGAGAAATTGGATAATATTAACAATGAAAGTGTTAATGTGGTGAAATAAAGATGAGATCAATGAAACAAATCCGAGAAAATAAATCCAAGGAAGGGAAACACTGAGTCAGTCAGCATGATAGAACCAGGTGAACCACATGTTCTTTTTGTACACAGAAATTGGGGTTTATGTAGCGAACAGCCGCCGATTCTACATAACACAGAGGTCTGTCGGTAGTCTATCTATTTATTTACTAGTGATAGGTGTTCGGAAATTCATAAATACGACAGGGGTTGAGTGTAATGCGTAAAAACGCTTCATATTTGACTACACAACAACACAAATTGATATCGAAATGGCAAAGAACCTTTTTTGCGTAATACGTGAGTCACCAAATGAGCAATATTAGGTTTAGACAAACGATTTGTTTGAATTTATGAATTACTAAACCAATCTTTCATGGTTCAATACGATCTGAATAGGTATTCAACAATGCACACAGTACTAATGGTAGATCTTGGATACAGTACAAAAATATATATCCATTAAATTCATGAAGCCATCATCGGACCTCAGCACAATACAGTTTGGCTTAAGGCTCAATACACCAACTTCTACTCGGTTAGTGAGTTAACTAAGCATTTCCGAGAAGGTTGGATAGGTAGTCAGATGTATTGAAAGAATCATGTAGAGATGTTTTAAAAAAAAAGATTATACTGTACCTCTTACCAGAAAAGTAACTCCATTAATTTAATACCTAACAACTATCACTCTTAACCCATACTCGCTTAATCAACGTGTAATAAGTAACAATTAAAAAAGAGTTCAATGATGAAGAACAAAATACAACTTACTCAAAATGATTATTTTTCATATAGTGATCAGCGATTAAATAATACATAGATTTGGTCAGAAAACTAGAAGTATAAGACATAAAAAATTTTAAAAAATGAGGATAAGGTTGATTAATAAAGAAAAAATATTCCAACTGCATAATCTCTTAAACAATGATTATTTTCGGAATAGATGGATTATGGCTACCAGTGGAATCCAGAATACTGTCTAGTTCTATTTGTGATATGTAGTATTAATGATCACATTGGGACTAACATCAATTATCAATGTTTTATACCTTAAACTAATGAATCCAGATAGTCACTAAGTTTTTCCACACAAAAAATGGTCTGACGTCTATATAGTTATTAAAGTGTTTGAGCTATCCTAAGGGCAAATACTCAAATTTGTGACAAAGTGGTTATATCGAGGCAATCCGCCCTGGATGCATACAGAAAGCCAACAAACAAATTCTATCTTCAGTATTGGCAACGAGATGATTCAAACCTATGCAAATAATAATATAAACAATGCTTTTGTACTAGTTTGAGACCATAAAGTAATGAAAATCCAGGAGCCTCGAACAGAATCTAATTCATGACATTCAAACCTCGCAGGCGGTGAACACGGTAATTCAAGATCAATAACTCGAGATATAAAGGTCAAAATTCAAAACTTCAGTCAATTTATAGTTGAAAGGTACTACGATTATCCGATGAAATGAGTGATTTGTCTTACGATATGAAAAGTCTACTGATAATGAGGGTTACCACATTTCAAACCTCGAAGGTTCTCTAAAAGTCGTGAAATCATCCAATAAACAACTGCATGGGACTCGTATTGCCGTTTCAGTTGGTTTACAGATATATTTAACTAAAATTATTAACCATAGGTTATAAATGTTTCATAAATCCCAACAGAAAAGCATATACTAGTGCAACTTTTAACAAATTTAGTTATTTACAAAATACATTAAGATAACGATAAAACTGTAATGAAATAAGTTGGTAATAAATAGTACTCAAAATTATTACCACTAACCTTAATCCTTTAGGAACAGATGGCAAATGTTGAGTATCTTTCACCTTTGATTGAATTATCATGTCTATTTCACTTTTTGGTAAAATTTTCTTAGATTCACTAGTTGATATGAGTTTTGATGCATCACATAAAAATTTCAACATCTATATAAGTATCGAATGAAAAAAAAGAAAGAAAGAAAGAAGACAATATCAGTAGAGTATAATATGCTATTTTAAACACATTCGAATAGTGACTAGCAGTGGAATCCTACTTACGAATCGCCAGCTGGATATATATCTGCACCTACCTGTTGATGTTCGCTCTGAGACACGAACCTAGTACTTTTAGACTCTAAACGTCCAGGCTGTTATCAACTTAGCTGAGTCCATATACCCATCGGCTTGTGCATATAATCCGAACTATAATTCAGCTTTAACAACTTGAAACATCCCATTGTTAAAGCCAAGAAGTGGAGCTGAACGATCTTTTTTGATATTTCCGAACTTGAAAGATATCTCACATCAGTTTATAATCCAATAGTAAAAACCTTTTATCCAGATTTCGAAAAGGTTTTTTCAAGTACCAATTGCTAAATAAAAGTTTTAAATCTAAAAAAACACCATAAACAACCTCATCAAGTTGGATTATATGAGGTTTTTGATAGACAAATAATTTAACAATAGGATAAACCCCAATGAATAATAGCCATCAGCTGTCACTATCATAAATAAATCCCGTTTCAGTGATCTGGAGCTTAAAAGTTTGCATCCGAGTACCTATTACGAGGTTTTGGGTGTGCTCTCCCGAGGAGTCCCACGCTAGGACGAAACGGCCGTTCAGTGCTTCCAAGTTTTCAATGGTAGTCTAACATTGATCGGTTCATGATTTCCATGAAACTCAACAATCTCCAAAACCCTATGATATATATATATGCTAATCCTAGAATCGACTAAAAAACAAGTACTACATCACCGTGTATGTGTACTTTTTAAAGCCTTGACAACAAGATAAAGTAGTCTTTCTTTTTCTGTTTCTTCGGAAATACTACATGCAGACAAACGTGGTCTCAATATCATGATCAATACGACAGATTTTGTGGCTTCTGACTATCTCTTTATTATTCTGAAGCTATGAATTGCATTACTGAACTTCCTATCTCTTTCCATCTCCCTCTCTCTGTCTCCTTACACGATTTCGTTGCCATATTACTCCACTTATAAATTTTTCTTGAAATTATGAAAACACCCACGGAGTTAAAATACCCTACGTTATTTGGACATCGAAGCAGCACACATAGATCTTCCTTTAGATGTCAACCCACCAACGACGGAAGAAATTAGAATAGCCGTCAGACAAATCAAGAACGGGAAAGCAACAGGACCCGACAACATACCAGCTGAAGCACTGAAATCAGACATCGAAGCAACCACAAGCATGCTTTATCTTCTATTCAAAAAGATTTGGGAGGAGGAACAAGTGTCGATGGACTGGAAAGAAGGACACCTCGTCAAGATTCCAAAGAAAGATCTGAGCAAATGTGAAAACTACAGAGGCATTACACTACTGTCAATACCAGGGAAAGTCTTCAACAGAGTGTTGCTGAACCGGATGAAAGATGCAGTAGACGCCCAACTTCGAGATCAATAAGCTGGATTCCGTAAGGATCGGTTGTGCACAGACCAAATTGCAACACTACGGATCATCGTCGAACAATCAGTTGAGTGGAACTCGTCACTATACATCAACTTCATTGATTATGAAAAGGCATTCGACAGTGTAGATAGGAGGACATTATGGAAACTTCTTCGACACTACGGAGTTCCTAAGAAGATTGTCAATATTATACGGAACTCATACGACGGAATACAGTGCAAAGTAGTGCATGGAGGACAGCTGACAGATGCATTCCAAGTAAGGACCGGAGTCAGACAAGGCTGTTTACTCTCTCCCTTCCTCTTTCTTCTGGTGGTCGACTGGATTATGAAGACCTCGACATCTGAAGGAAAACACGGAATACAATGGACAGCTCAGAATCAATTAGACGATTTGGACTTCGCAGATGACCTAGCCTTCCTATCACGTACACACGAACAGATGCAGATGAAAACAGCCAGTGTAGCAGCAGTCTCTGAATCAGTAGGCCTCAGCATACACAAAGGGAAAACCACGGTCCTCAAATTCAAAGCGGAGAACAGTAATACAATCACTCTTGATGGCGAAACTCTGGAAGATGTAGATTCCTTCACATACCTGGGAAGCATAATCGATGAACAAGGAGGTTCAGATGTAGACGTAAAGGCAAGGATTGGCAAAGCAAGGGTCGCATTCCTACAATTGAAGAACACATGGGACTCAAAACAACTTTCAACCAATATCAAAGTGAGAATCTTCAATACCAACGTCAAGGCAGCTCTATTGTATGGAGCTGAAACTCGGAGAACTACAACAACCACAATCAAGAAAGTACAAGTATTTATAAATAGCTGTCTACGCAAGATACTCAACATCCATTGACCGGATACCATGAGAGAACAAACCAACTCCCAGCTGAAGAAGACATTAGGAAAAAACGATGGAAATGGATAGGACATACATTACGCAAATCGTCAAACTGCATCACGAGGCAAGCCCTAACTTGGAATCCTGAAGGGAAGCGCAAAAGAGGAAGGCCAAAGAACACATTGCATCGGATAATAGAAGCAGATATGAAAACGATGAATTACAACTGGAAGGAGCTAGAAAGGATTGCCCAGGACAGGGTTGGATGGAGAATGCTGGTGAGTGGCCTATGCTCCTTCACGAGGAGTAACAGGCGTAAGTAAGTAAGTAACGTTATTTGTGGTAGTGAAATGAGAACTCTGTTTATTTGTTACATTTTAAATATAAACCATTAAAGAATTAAAGGTTATGGGCCTTGAATTTTAACAAATTAACACATAACACTGAAGCATTAAAATTTAGAGTTATACAAAGAAAGTTAAGAACACCAAAATGTCACGTCAAATACGTTAGTCATATTTTACCTGCTTCATTATGAATAGTTTTTATAATTAAAACATCCACTAAAACATTAGTGTATGAAAAGACATTAATACTAATGATAATTTAACTAATCGGTTTATTTCAACATACCTCAGTTGATACAGAAAGTGTTTTAATACTGTCGTATTCTGGGAAGGGACTAGGATAAGAGATCAAAAAAATGACCTTTACACATTCCCAATCTAGTGACTGAAATGAAAGAGGAATAAAAACAAAAACATTAAGGCACGGTAAACTAGTGACGGTTGAATTTCAACAAAATTATAAATATTATATGGACACTGAAAGTTTAACTGATACATGATTGAGAAAAAGCATATAAACAGTGATTTCTTTAATTTCATGGGTTGTATGCATCACAGTTTGATCACAATCGGGATATCAGTTAAAACCATGCAGCATCAGACAAGTGTTTCGTTCAACTTTGGGATTACTAAGCACTATGAACTCATGACCCCACTAGGGTTTTCTGGTCTCGTTACGAACCTTTAACTATCAAAATCACTGGGGTCCGTGTTCAATGGTACAATTTCAGCTTTAATCAATTTTCGATATAATGAAACCACTAACCAACAGACAAATATTTTACTCCCGACATGTCTGAACTCCGTCACAAATTTGTCACTAGAACATAAAGAATTTCTTGTAGTGTAATCATTCACAAGTTGACTGTTATGGTTTAGTACTAAAACTAAAATTAATCTGTAACTAGTATCATGTAATGGGAAAAAATCGAGAATTCGTAACCTGTGGAACTATCTTATAAAGAATTGATGTTTTTGTATCGCAGTTGTAAAATTATTATAACATTATAAATAACAGTTTTTGGCAGATTAACAATTCAATATGACATATATGCATTATTGACGACAGGTAGTTTTGTGCCTAAGTAACCATGCCATTTTGTATTCGAATACTTCTAATTTAACTTGCATATATTAACCGAGGAAAAATCTATCATTCACACGATTTGAGATAAAAAAGTAACAAGATCAAAACTAGCTATAGTTTCAATGATAGTAAAAGACTTGTCAGGGAGTACAACCTGAAAAGAATGACCACAAATGAAAAATAATAATATAAAAACTTAGTTTAAAAATAGAAAGAATGAAAGAATATATCGGCTCCACTGTAACCGATTTTGAATCGTGTCTTCTCACTTATTTATTCTGATTATCATATGTGATTCAAGCAGAAAACCTGTATCCAGGTCAAATTAACTTTCAAAATGAGTGGCAACATTTCATTAATCACTAACACATGACGGGTAATGAGATTACCTAGACAGGTGAAGTTATCAGTTAGCTGATTTTCCATCATCGAACTATACATCAGTACAGACCAATTGTGAACATGAGGAACAGCTTTCCAGTCCTGTTTGATTAATCCTTAAAGTAAATCACAGTTGATAATTAAATCAACAACTATGAAATACACTAGCTTTTAGAATCGAGCAGACCCGATTAGTGTAATTAACAATTTTATATTCTTAATCAACCCAAATTACGGTGGAAATCATCTTTCAGTTATAAGAATTGTTTAGTAATGACATTATTCAGTCCGTTATATAGAACTTTTAAATGACTATCACATTGCACATGTCAAATCTTCATTTGTTCTTCATAATTTCATTGGAACTGATAATCGATAAGACATTGTTATCTATACAGGCAAAAGTGTTAATCTCAAAACATAAATAACTGATGTATCACACTGATCATCGTCGATGTTTCGTTTCGTCTAAATAATTCTCTTTACTTATAACTATTTTATTAAATTTATTAAATAAATTAAAAATTAAACTTAATGATATTCTAATGGATAGAGTTTTTTTAGCGAGTTAGTTTTCTGCGGGATGGGGTCGCTAACCCCATGCCCAACCCTCCTCCTTTATCCGGGCTTGAGACCGGCAGTAGCCCCCGGAGGGACTCCAGGCGGATTCCATGTGATTCCATGTTCCATATAGACCTTATAATAGACAGGTTTACGTATAGATCCATGCTAACATCACTATAGAAGACTCAGCCAGCCTAAGATATAATTAATTCACATTTACAAAATTAAATTAATGTGCACCCATTCCAAATCTTTCAGTCAGACCTGTTTTTAAGGAGGGGAAGGTGATAGAACAAGATGAAAATGCAAAATTAGATTATTAACTTATTGTAAATTTTGTTAAACAATACTTCCCTTTTTTAATTCAATACGATAATTATTCAGTCTATTACTTGTTCAATTTCTAGTGTGATATTTTGTTCAGTATAACATTGCGTTATCTTAGTATGATGCTCATTCAAGATATATTATTTGCACCAATTCAGTATGGAATTCATCTAGTAAGATATGTAGCTTGAGTTTTTGTAGAAATCCAGTGTATTTCTTCTGTATATAACAACTGTTAACTAGACATCAAATTTAAGTAACATCAATATATGAATGAGTGTATTTATGTATCATTTCGCTTCATTCCCATGGTTGAATAAATCCAATATCACTAATTTTTGTGTCCTCACTACGCGTCTTTAGATTCAGGGTCCCAATACAAGCCATAAATCAGTTAAGCAATCCACAAATATAAAAGTGACAAATACAACACATATAAATAGTAATACTCAAGAAGAAAACAGTAAATAACCTACTCTTTGTTGATCATCAATCGTGGCTGGATTCCACCAATTAGGTTTATTCAAACTATTCTGCTGTATTGGTTGTTGTAGATATGGATGATCAAATATATCAGAAGAAGTGTATAAATTCTTTAAAGTATTAATCCATTCAGGTAAAAAATTAACATAATTATCGACGGATTTCTTTTTGATACAATCAAAAAGTTTTGCAAAATCAGATGATTCTAGTAATTCCAAGAATAAGTATTTCTCCATTGGTGATTGATAGACAGTAGTAATTTCACGTGTTAATGAACCACCCAATAGACATTTCACAGCACAACTTAATACTTGAGTTAAACAAACACAATCAATTGGCCAAGATTTATAAGTTATACTCTTCTGAAGATCATCTGTACATGCTATTGTATTATCATCCGGAGAAACTGGGTTTATGAATTCTTCATTTGTTTGAAGAATAGTTGAACATTCAGTAGAAGTTTTATTACATGATACAATCTTATCAGCTGGATAATCACTACGACTACCTGTTTCCAGATATGTACGTATTTCAGGTGAATAGAACTTTGCACTTAATAATTGTAGTTGTCTACTACTTCGTATCACTATCTGTATTAATAATTTCAATAAATCTGGACAGTCACGACATGGAATATTTACACCGGACATTTGATTATAAGCAAATAACACCAGAGACAGTTCATGGAATAAATGTAAGCATGCAATACTCGGAGGTGCACTAACCGTTCCAGTATATGCATTAACTTTCAATTCAAATGGTATATCATCAACTGTTAATTCTGCATCAAATCGATAAATACGCAATTCAATTGGTAAGGCTGAACAAGGAATACTATGTTCTATGCTAAAAATAATAATGGTAAATTTAAGTATTAACTAAGTAAATAGGATAGGGGATTTGTGAGGATTGTAGAATTTTTATAGTTAAGATCTTAGCTAGACCACCATCGAACGCCTGGAAGTACTCAATAGCTGTTTCGTTATAGAACCGAACCCACGACCTTTGGTCTGGCATCCGAACACCTAACCCTTAGACCTTGGGATCACCCTAACGAGAAACCATAACCGGTGAAATTCAACGGTGGCGAGTGTGATATATTTATCCACATCAGCCAACGTATGAGGAGTTAAACGTTTGCATGAGAGACCGAAAGTCTTGGGTCTGATTCCCTGTGGTGGGGTCGTAGCTGCGTACTGTTGAGAAGTCCCATATTAGACTAAAAAGGCCGTCTAGTGCTTCCAGGTTTTCAATGGTGGTCTATTTTCAAAACTAGTTAAAGACTAAAACATAAACATTTAAACAAAAGTGATGTAGACATTAGACAATTATATTAAATAGGATAAAAAATAATCAGTAATATATTCAATATCCTCGATGCTAGAACTTGTTCATAAAAGCCGGAGAAGTGATTAGTTGGTCACATGGTTCACTGACATCCAAGATAGCTGTATATGACTAGTAAATGTTGGTACGTCAAAACTCCCTGGACGAGATCTTGAAATTTTGCAACTCAATGGATTGAGATGTTATCACATATAGTTACTTACTTACTCCTGATACCCCTCGTGAAGGAGAATAGGCCGCCCACCGGCATTCTCCATTTAACTCTTTCCTGTCCAATTCTCTCCAGTCGCTATTCAACCTTTTCATGTCTGCTTCCGATTCCCGATGTAGTGCGTTCTCCGGCCTTCCTCTTTTCCGTTTACTTTCAGGATTCCAAGTTAGCGCTTACCTCGTGATGCAGTTTGGTGATTTCCGTAATGTATGTCCTATCTATTTCCAGTTTCTCTTCCTAATTTCCTCTTCAGCAAGAAACTGGTTTATTCTCTCCCACAGTAGGCTGTTGCTGATAGTTTCCGACCACATATAACTCGCTCACAACAAAACCACATTACAGTTTTCTATTACATTCTTTCTAAAAGTGAGATAACTCATTTTTTGAGTTGAAAGACATTTTTCATGGCCGTATTTTAAACCAAATTTAGTATTTTATTTAATACTATTTATATTCAGCTATCGATTGATTGTGCGATTCTCTCTTCATTTATCTCTTCATAACTATCCTATTTATGTAGCGTCAGTGTTTTTGACGCTCTCTTTGACCAGACTCGTGTATTTAAAACATTAATAATAATAATAATAATAATAATAATAATAATAATAATAATAATAATAATAATAATAATAATAATAATAATAATAATAATATGAACACTTAATTAACCAAAAACAATTAGTGTAGAACTTACCAGTATAAATGTTCATATATTAAAGAAACTAATTGTAAATAAAAATTCATTTTCCAATTCGATAGTAAATTAACCGATGTACGTATAATATATATTAATAAATCAATGAGAACAGTTACCGTTCGACATGCTTCAGAAATTGTTACTTTATTTATATTCATTTCATGTACTGACACATCATCGTCATCATCATCATCATCATCATCATCATCATGATTGTTGAATGAATTCAATTGATTATTTTCTGTGTTATTGTTATTCTTCACCTTTTTATTAAAACCATTATAATTATCTTTATTATCAAAAGTAATTATTACCTCATCATCATTATCATCATAAGATGTGAATAACTTTAATGATAAATTAGCATATAAGGATATATCTGTTGATGTATTTAATTTTATAGTTGATTGATTTGAATCAGATTGATTATTGTCATTTATATACTCATCACCCATTAATATCCAACACCTATATGGATATAAAGAAACAATTTTTTTTTAATTAAATGATAAGTCGTAACAATCATTACACTTCTAACGGGAAAAAGATAATACATTGACAAACTTTATTCAATTTTAAATGGCATTTTTTTTAAAATAAAAAAACAAGTTACACAATTTAACAGTTGAATCATATTTGTGCAACCCCAAGGGTCATTATTAGGTGTAAAAGAGCCAACTACATTTATCAATATTGATTGAAATATCAACATTTACAAATGAGTAAATCAATAGACAAGAAAAACAAGTACATCTATGATTCCATATGTATATTGATACATTGGTCATCAAAATGAAATAGGTAATATATATTTTAAGTAGAAATACATGGTGACTAGCAGTGAAATCTAGGATGCACGTCTCTTCTTACTTTAGGACTCGTCAGATGGATGCATCTCAGACTTGAACTTAGTATCTTGCTCTTGAAATGTTATCACGTTATCTACTTAAATACTGAGTCCACATAGTCACTGCATTCTGCAATAGGATAAATTTTAATACATATGTATTGGTTGTTTGAAACTACTTATTGATGTTTAGGACTACAATCGATCAGTCTCTTTTGGTATATATGAATCCTGTGAGGACTCTTTTGATATCCCCAGTAAGTCACAAACATTTTAAGCAGGAACATATAATAATTAAAATTCACCCCATTACACAAGGTAGAGACCAACTGGATTCAGTATTTAAGTAGATAACGTGATGACGTTCCAAGAGAATGTTACTGATTCAAGTCCTGTTGTGAAAATTTATTCGGAGATACAGAGCCAGGACAAAACGCGCGTCCTGAATTCCACTGGTAGTCAACATCCATCTCTGCCCAAAATGATTGTCACCTGATGGCAATATTGAGACGATCCGGGCAGGATGCACATATACCAAAAGAGACTGACCAAGTGTAGTCCTAAACAGTAATTAGTAGTTCTAAGCGGTAGTTTTTAGAGTTGTTAACCCCCTAAAAAAACTAATCACCTGTTTCGGTTTGGGCGCACGGACAGTATTTCATCCCTTACATAAATCGGATGATGAAGTGTGGCGCCTCCTTGTACCAATGTTTATGTGTTTAAATAAATAAATAATAAATACTTCGTCAACATTTACTTAGACAAAAAAGCTAACTGGTACATTACCTAAATGTAATATTATATCAAACGTATCACATAATTACAACTCTTTCATTAACCAGATGTATAGATCTATGTATTGAAGTGTGAGTCGAATATATAAAAATGCAAATAGGCGGATAACAAATGTTATCCTCTTAAAATTCATCAAAATTCAATAAATAAAAGCCTACAGCTGAGTTATAGTTATTACATACACAAGACTCAATCTACGGTGATCATTCAAAAAAAAGTATAGATAATTTTTAGAATTTGAACAAACAAACAAACAAATCAGGGAACAAATAATTACACACATACCTATTTAAAAATTTAATTACTTTGATTATAATTGATCCAACACTATGAACAGATCCCTCAGTGATTACTTGTTCATGTTGACTTAATCTATTCAATAGAGTTAAACACTCCTCAATGACTATAGTACAATAACAATATAATGAGTGAACATCTAAATGAGATATTGTATGCATACTACTATCGTCTTTATTACTACTAATAGTAGTGGTAGTATGATTAGTTTCACAAGAAGGAGAATTGTTATTTTTATTATCATTATTATTACGAACAATTTTGTCATTATTTAGTGTTAAATTCATGATTAAATGTTTCAATGAACCGTAGCATAAATCCAGTTGTTTGATGATAGATTGATAATGATCATATGAGTCGGATGAAGATTGTTTCTGAAATAATGAAGGAAAAACAACGAACAAATATTCGATTTATAAAAAAATATCTTAACAAGTTAATGTTTGCTTAGATTGTTTGACAATATATATATATATATATATATATATATATATATATATATCACATAATTATCAATATAGAGGTTTGTGGCGATTATTGATGGTTATCGATAGCACGAACCAACCTAAGTTAGATATTAACTGAAAAGCAGAAAGCACTGGACAGTTTTTTTGTCCTAATATAGGACTACTCAGCAGTAGACAATTGCACTTCTGTCACAGGGAACCGGACACAGAACCTTTCGTCTTGCGTGCGAACGCGAGCCGGATGTAAGTTAGTTACTTACCGAAAACAATGGAAGATGGTTGCGAAATATCGTGAATTGACCGAGGTTCGATAAATATACCATTAGATTACGGCACAGTGGTCTAAAGGTTAAGCGTTCGCATGAGAGACAGCAGATTCTGGGTCCAATCCCCTACAGTGGGATCGCGTATGTGTCACACACCAGGTTAGAGGATCCGTCCAGTATTCCCTGCTTTTTCATGGATCTCTAACTTATGTTGATTCATGATATTAATAACATATCACATAGTTCTGATAAACATCATCTCGTTGCATTACCTACGTTTCTCGCAAGGATCAGTTGTTGCAGATTTAATCATAAGTAAATTGGAAGTATTGCGATGACAACACATTCTATGATCAGTGATGTGATTGGATATGCTGACAGTAGCATACATCACAATAGTACATTGATTAACTGGATTTTATAAAAGCCAATTACGTTCAAATTTCCATAAGCAAAAGAAGACTAACAGTTACTTATCTAAGGCGTGTTGTAAAAGCTGTAATTTTAATAGCTCAAATCTGAAAAATGAGAGAAAGAAATCTTCAACATAAGTCTAACTCAATTAAACATAAAATTTAAAATGGCATCCCATTATTTGTCTGGCTTTGTCATTTGAATGTATATACGACCACCGTGTATTTATCATTCATTCATTACTGATACCCCTGTATAGAAGAAAGGTTATTTGAATCAATAAGACACTGAATTAGGTTTTCTATTTACATCCTAATCTGTTTATCATAATCAATATATAATGTATATTAGCACGAGGGGATTTGTGGACACTGTTGAGTTTTATAGCTAGTATCATGAAATGACTTTAGTTAAACAACTGCTTAAAATCAATAAGCACCGGATGACTGTTTCGTCTTCACATGGGACTCATTAACAATGCGCATATACAACACCACAGAGGAGCCAACTCATGATCTTCAGGTCTCTTGACGAGCACTGAGCATCTACACCACTGAGCTGGCATTCTGCCTTACACCTGATATGGTTGAACTCAACTGGTCACAACAGTTACCCACCGATGACACCAAACGATAATTGAGAAACGTTGCAAATCGAATGAAGTTAGAAGTGTAAACCATTGGATACTAAAATTGGTTTAATAGTTAACAGGCGCAAGTAAGTAGGTTAAGTGATCACCACGAGATCAGGAATTCCTGGGTTCAATTCCCTGCAGAAAGGTTTTGGCTGTTGAGCCGCCCTATACTCGGATAAAATAGATGCTCAATGCTTTCAAATTTTCAACGGTTAGTTGACCATAGTCATACCGTGATACAAACGATAAATAATGAAATTTACTTCCAAAAGTTTATTGATAATAAACATTACTACTGATAAATTTATGTTAACATACTGAATTTATATTACGTTGAATCTGGAATGTCTTAATTAGCTCAGTTACAACAGCTTCATGTTGACCTTCATTTGATAATTGGATCAGGTGATCGAAAGATGAAACATCTTTTAACTTTATTAATAAATGATTCATGTAATCTATAGGAATAGAAAATATGTATATTTTTAGATACACTTTATGTAACAACAATATGCTGAAAAAAATATCCCAGAATAGTTAGCCAATCATTCAGTCAGTCAAAAGTAATGCAGAATGTGGAAATCGACATAAAAGCAATGTTCTACAGCTATCCATAATTCAATGATCTTTCAGTCGATAACAATTTGTTAGTAGTACGTCCTGGAAAGCAATCGACCGAGCGAAATGATATTTTTTTTAAATGGATATAAATGAGCATGATCAGCATTTTGTCATGTAGACTGACTTAATAACAACAAAAAGTTGAATAAAATATTTATTTATTCCAACACTTTTCACAGTCGTGAACCAGTATTTCATCATAGAACTTTCGACAAATTTAAGTGCTGTATGGAATTCGATTCGGCATGACCAAAAAAATGGAGTTAGACTTACATTACACACGATAAATTAGTGACTTAATGAAAAAATCAAATTAGGGAATTACAGAACAATTTAAAGGTGAATAATATTTTTATCTCCGTAAATCCTATGAAGAGTCTAGTTGTAAAAGAACGAGCTATGGGTTTAAAATGCTATCTGATCGAAAGACATACATTCAATTATTGATAAAGGTACTTTGAATAGAAATAAACAGACAAAACGCCGTAAAAATATTTGTCATATTTTGACGCAACGTTAATAACTTCAGAATAAAAGAAAACTTTTGATTATTGAAATTTAACTTGAAATAATTTATGTTGTCCCACTGTTGACGTTTCAACTGAATTTTGATCAGTTCTAGTTTATATATGTCAATCCTGTATGAAATACCGTTATAACACCAGTTTACGTAGGATATATGGAATGTGGTTAACTGTGGAACTCAAGATGTACGTTTCATATTATCTAGGGCTCACCAGGTGGATGTACCAGCATACCAGTGTTGATTTTCACACCAGAACTGAAGTCCAGTACCACTTGTTTAAAACGCCATCACGTCATCCACATGGCTACTGAGACCAAGCAGCCAATTACTTGTGCAATGGGTATGAACTTTAACTTAGTTTGTAATGATTTGGATTATCGTAATTGAAATCCGGCCAGTCTGGGTCCCGAATAGGACAAAACCTCCATCCTGAATCCCACTACTAGTCACATTTTATCTATTCCACAAAAACTGTCGCCATAATGGTCAAATTATATAATGAATAATGACCAATATTATCAACAAAAAAGAAATGGAAGTTACAATAAACACTAAAAGTCAACAACACTACAAAACTATACAACAATGAAAATGTTATTTTATCATTAAAATAGAATAGAAAACTAACCAACTGTTAAGTCACCATGATGTACACTATATGATCTAACGACAACAAGCTTGTGTTCTATAATCAGCTTCTTTAGCTAAAGGAAAGAGGGGTTTTGTTAACAACCGCAAGAAAATTATGAAACAATATAGTAGTATGAATAAATAAGGGTGTTATATAGTTCAAAATACAATGAAACACTTTATTGAAGATTAATACGTTGTTATCACTACAGGAACATTCGGTGGCAATTAACTGATTAGATGAGCTCCGAATAATCTTTACATATATAACTCATAAATTTTCATAGTTGAATTCATAAACCGATCATTGGAAACCTGGAGGCAATGGACGGCCGTTTCGTCCTAGTATGAAGCTCCTTGGCAGCGCACTATGTTAGCTCAGTGGGTTAGAGATTAAACGTTCTCGAACGAGACCGGAGGTCCTGGATTTAAGTCACACGTGCGAGATCGTGGATACGCACTGTTGAGGAGTCCCGTACTGGGACAAAATCGCCGTCTAGTGCTTCCACATTTTTAATTGAGGTTTAGCTAATATCGACTCATGAATTCAACCATTAAAAAATTATTATAATCTCCACAAATCCACATTCCGATAGTAAATTTTCAAAATTCAAACAAGAAAAAAGAAACCATAACAAATTGATGGTAAACGTGAACAAAATTTATTCGTCACTTAAAGTTATTATATGCATTAACAAGTAAAAAGTGATGAAAGCGTGGTTTAACACAGATAACTAATGACGCAAAGACGAAATGCTCAATGACTTGATAGACTCCTCATTTGATTAGTTATAACTCCGAACTATTCGAAAGAACATAACATATTTTGAAGGCGGCCGGAAATAAATTGATTAGTCAGTTAGTCAACATGTTGATGCATAGCACTATTGATTTATTTTACATGCCAGTTTGCAGCTGCTTATAACGCAAACACTGTCAAATAAATGTGGTTTGACCGGATAATGCTAATAAACTTAAAATGGAACAGATGTGGTATCCATTTAAAGTTGTTTCTTGAGCTTCATGTGACAAAACACAGTTTAAGCCATTTTGTTAAATACTGTCTTTAAGGTAATTTTTGAGGTATTGCCCTGATGCTATAAACGATGGGTTTAGTAACAGAATATTGTACTTCCCTGATTTGTGAGCCACAAGGACCAACATCACTACCGAATTGATATAGTCAACTTCATCTGAAACTCCATTTCTTATTGCTCAATTAAACAACAGTTCAGAGCTATTCTATTGAAGTTTATACAACACATTGTCACAAAAATTTGAAAAATTATTATAAACCTTCTCTCTTTCTCTAATCGCGCAAAAACATTGATACATGTTTCATTGGTATTTTGATCAATAAAAAGTCATATGCACTAAACACAATCCATATTACGCATGATCAAAAATAAGACGTTTTTACAGACAAATTTAAGGAACACAACTTACAGCGAGTACACACTCTTTCATTTCTGCATAATCACGACGTTGTGAACTCATTAAATAATGCATCCATAACACTACACAATGATACAAACAAAAAACGCCGGAAGACGGCATGATAAAATCTATAATTCTAGTTACAACAATTTAATCTAAAATAGGATAATGAAATAATCTCTGTCTTATTCCATTTAATAAGCCAGGCATATAAACATGTTTTATGAAAATTATTATTGTCATCTTTGTAAGAATATTGGCGGATCAAATTATAACATATAAACCTCAACAGAATTTGAAAACGAATGAGGCATAGATATTAAACTTTAGCCAGATTCCTATTTATTCACTTATTTATTTAAACACATAAACATTGGTACAAGAAGACACCAAATATATATGCGCCACACTTCATCATCCGATTTATGTAAGGGATAGAATACTGTCTGTGCACCCAAATCAAAACAGGTGGTTAATTTTTCTTAGGAGGCCACTCACCGAGCCTTCGACCTAGAGGTTTAATTCATACGACAATGGATCAAAGTTAGAAGATGCAATCGCATGATATTCGGTGACCAACAATAGGTGCATAAGCCATTTGTTCCATCAGGATAGTGGAGCTCATGTGTAGAATTGGTTTTGAATCAGGGTTTTCCAACTCCATGAGGTGGATCTTACGTACCCACCAATCCGGTTCAAGCTCCGGAAATTCGTTTTTCGTCTACAATTTCTTCGATACCGCTATAGAAGATTTGAAAGATAACCAATATATTTCAGTGGATTTCTCAACAGTAATGGTACTAATGAACAGCTGTTACTTTAGTTATATTCATCAATGCTGGTGAACTTGATTTGCTATGTCTGATAAAGCCAATATAATACTACCAACAATATCACTTATCCCAAATTCATCGGCGAACCATGAAAAAAGTGAGTCTAGTTTAGTAGATTTTCTCTGCTAGTAAGTTTAACAACTGAAAACATAGCCGCTATGTTTCTCTTCATCATCATCCACAATCGTTTCTCGTCTACAACTAAACTGGATGCATATCATCATAACAAACCTAAAGTCTGTAAATGGTGCGTATAATAACGTTTTCATCAAAATCAGCCATAAACCGGTCAGCAGCATCATTTTCGATCTCAAGTATGCTTTGACACCTTATAAAAAACTATATCGAAGCTGATGGTCTAGTCCCCATATTATACATTTCTCTTAATGCATACTAACATGGGGCTAGGTAAAAGAACATGTGATTAACCACTGAATGTGCACAGACAAACACTTAGCTTACTCACTAATCAATTTGTGATTTTCTTCCTATTTTCGACTTCTACTCTTGATTCACTGAGTATGGACTGTTAATAATTGTGTTAAATAAAGTATTTTCTAGTCTATACTCTGGTTCTCTATATTCGGTCGTGAATTCTTTGTCTGGTTAACGTAATCTCAGTCTGTGTACAGTCTCTATAGACCGAGTATCTAGTTCAGTAGTAGTGAAATCTCGATCACCAGTCATTTTATCGTATAAGAATAGTATATCATGGCACACAAAAATTGATTTTATCTTGGCGTAATTCATTGAATGTAACTATGGCCGTAAAGTTGCAGTTGTCTTCAATTTTAATCTTCAGCAAATAAGTTTTGCGGAAATTAAACAGCCACAAAACCATTTGCTATTTTTATAGGTTTGGATTTCCATTATTTCGCTCGTAAACTATGATTTTTCGTCTCGATTAAAGACGCTAATTTCTCATTAATCATCGTATCTTTTAATATGATAAGCTTTTATCCTACGTTTAAAGTCTTCGTAAATAAATTTACTTACATTTCTCGTCTGCTTGAATCAATCTTTTCTGATACCTGACAATAAACCTATCTTATAAATATCTATTAGATTACCTTGGGTTAAGAGAAAAGTAGGGGAATAATAGTCATATCTGGCCGTCGGAATCGAAGCTAGAAAATACTGGCATCTAACTAAATATGCATCAATAATAATCAAACAAAGGTTTAATAGAATTATACAAACACTTACAATGACTCATAACAATAGGATAATCTGATGACGTTTCTTCAAATCCTGCAAGTACATCGTTTAACGCAGAGAATACTGGTGTTGGTATTTCAGTCGGTCTCGAATTCCTTGAAATTGTAAAAATATAATAATGATAATAGTAAAATTACTTTTCCTGGTTAAAATCACTGAAACGAACAATAAAATTAATGCAGCATAGGAAAATAAGCCAAAATAAGGCAGACAGATATGGATTTCCTAATAACTGAAGAATTTGGAAAAAAAGAATACAGGACGAAAGGATTATGGTTATCGAAAACTGACGACCATGCTTTTTGGCAATAAGGACTGTAAAACAATGTACACTGATCAGTCTGTCACTGGAAACGAAGAAAAAAGTAGGAGAACTAAATGTTCGTTTGAAAATTCTCACCCAGTTGTTTAACGGGTACTAAATTTCAATACTAACTATTTAATTATAAAATAACATCACAAAAGAGAAAAATTAATACACTTCTATCTTGAAAATAAAACCTACTATATTTATTTATAAATGATTTAGACATAATAGATACAGACGAAGAATAATTCAGTATAATGAAAAGTTAATTGCAACTTTGATAACTTAGAAGTATAATGTAGATGTTAAATTGTTTGAAGATAAAAATGGCCCGTAAAAGACACTTGTTAAGGATTACAAGATCTTACTTAATCCGAAAGTACTCTTCAGTGAAAAAATGACATACTTTAATAAAATAAATAAAACCAGAGGGCACTGAACATCTCCATCATTCTAGTTAAGAAATCTTTAGCAGAGTACACTCATGACTTCACAAGAAATCGAACACAGAACCTTTAGATCTCGTGGCGAATGCATCACTTGTTCAGAAATGAGCTGGTATCTAGTGGCAGAAGTTAATATTTTGTTATTACTAACAGACCTCAAGAACAATTCCTGAAGTTCTGATATGAACGTGAGTGGTGGAGTTGAGTTGCATGAGCATTGGTACAATTACCATCGGTAGATGATAGGTTTCAAAAGTTGCCTAGCCTAAATCAATCTGCAATGTGATTTATCTTCAAACTGAACAATTTCCATAAACCTAGTCCAAAACATAAATTCTTTTGAAACTTCGTAACAACTAACATTCAGCTGTTACGTCGAATACAAATTTTTAAGCCAGTAATATCTTTCTACATTCACAAATAAGAAGTGGGAAAAATCAAAACCGCTGATTGATGCCTAAACTTACTTTTCTTTTGATTTCGTTGAATTATGACTGGTAGATTCTAATTCTTCTAAATATAATTCTACATATATAATGTAGAAAAATGCTAAGTGATATAATTCTGGAGCTACTTTTAAAGCCAAAACATCCTCAGGTAGCAGGCAGGTTTCTGATTGTATTTTATCTTGATGAATAACAGCTTCCAGTAGCGGTGATGATGATGACAATGATGAGGAGGGTGTTGTTAATAAATAAGGAAAAGACGGTCGTAAACGGTCAAATAAATTCAGATACGCAGTTGATAATTCTAACGACCTATAAAGAAGCCAAGAAAAAGACATATGTAATTGGTGACTTAAACAAATTTTATGAAAATTAAAATCGCAGAATCACGGTATGCTATAAGTTGTGCCGAAAATAATGCGGGTCAGTTGTTGATGGTGATACGTATAAGAATGTAAAGTGGTTATTAGATAATTGAGAAGTAACCATATAACCACACTTTAAAGATATCCAATCGCACGTAAAATGTAGAGATAATTATTCTTGTTGTCTTGTGGAAAGCCAAACAAGTATTCCTTACATATTATTTACATGACAGTGGAATACGTAATAAAATAACTTATTAAGAAGGATTAAAAAGCCTAACCAACCAATATGGAAAAGTACCCAAAAATGGATTCATAATTTTTTTAAAATCATGGTTTAATTGAGCACCCAAAGTTACTTATGACATTATCTATACTACCAACAATAACATGATACTTAGACTGAGTGCAATACACAGAAGAAAAATTCGGCTAATAAATTGATAGTCTACTAGTCAACAATAGGATACAGCTGTCAGCTAAATCTTTTTCCGACCCCAGTACTGACAACTGTACGAGGAGAAGATCCATGCAATCGGCTTTGAGCCATACTCTAAGTGAGAGGACCAGTGATACTACCCAGTCGAGCGACAAAAATAAATAGATAAGGGTTCGAACCCGTGACTTGATGGTTGAAATCTCAACGCCCTACCCACTGACCCATTTCTCCACACTGTATAATAACTAGGCCATCTTTAAAAAAACCACCCTATATATTTTAATTTTCGAATAACAGCGGTACTCGCAATAAACAATCCAATGTGTATAAAATAATTGGTAACAAATAACGAAATGAAAAAGCTATTTACCAGCGGTATCCGGAAAGGCGGCTAGTTTGTAAAAGCAATGATATACCAAATGTAATAATATTTGGTTTCATGTTATTCAAAAGAACCAGGAACTCATGGATCGACTTTTGACTCCACATATTCGAGAAAATTGATGTCACTGAAGTAGGAAAATAATTAACAGAAATCTAGGTCAATACATTTCGGATTTGCGAAAGCTGCAAACCACTAAATAGTTGATTCATACGTCAAAACCACTATACCAAACATCATACGTCCTACTATACTGAAACCTTATAGCAGTAGTATACAACCATATTTCTTTAAGAAGTAGACACAGGACAAGAAAGAACAGTATTTATAAATTCGATTTTACTGAAAAATCAATGCCTTAGTCAAACCATTACGTACTATGAATTTACGGATGGTTTTATACACATTTTTGATACTGTAAAGAACTCGGTTAGAATTTTTCAGATACAATTCACCAAATTAAAAAATTATCATCCTATATAGAGTTGTTAAATTTCACTGTGATCTTCCTAAGGAAACAAAAATTTGAATACTAAAATCTGTGATTCGTATGATACTGTTATTGGCGTTAATAATATGATCACAGAAAGTATGTGATAAATATTAATGTTCGATAACAACAGTTTGAAAGTACTCCAGATAAGTAACCGTATCTCCTAATCAGATTAACAGAATGATATAATCAAATGAAATCTAACTACATGAATTCATGAAACTTGATACGTAAAAACAGTTTCGGTACGTATCTTTTGAAATTGCTTTAACACTAGGAATTTTTATATTAGAAATGTGTGATTTCTAGCTACATGTGTTCATCAGTGATATAATTAATAATAATAATAATATCAGAAGGGGTTTGTGGAGATTTTTAGAAATTTCACAGATTGAAATCATGAGTCAATTGAAGCTAGACAACTATGGAAAACCTGGAAGCACTGGACGGCCGTTTCGTTCTAGTATGGGACTCCTCAGCAGTGTGAATTCACGACCCCGCACCCCGCGAGATTCGAACCCAAGATCTATCAGTTTCGCGCCAAGCGCTTAACCAACTAGACCACTGAGCCGGCATCTGATGGTGTTGAAGTTAGACATTAAGATAGTTGAACGTTGAAAAATATAATTTATCCATAAAGCTACTTATATTTTGCCAATTCATTTTATATTGGTTGTTTGAATCTCCCCAATGATGTTTAAGACTGTGATTGATCATTACTGGGTTCGAGTCCCGCGGTGAACATCAACTCTGGGATGCAGGTACATCCGTTTGATAAGTCCCAAATAAGACGAAACGCGCGACCTGGATTTAACTGAAAACCATCATCTATCTCTGCTTATATCTTGCTAGTTTGAATGGATACTAATAAAATTATGCAACTAAAAATAAAAAGTCATCTAGTACTTCTTTAACTCTGCAAAATTGATTTCTTTTCTCACTTAATGTACTATAATAAACAGAATAAAATCAAATTGATAAATAGGCCAAACTAACCACATTCTGAATAATTTGATGAGATTTCCGTGAATGAATCAATGCATGGAATAAGTGTTTCTGTGGTTGCCTGTAGTTCTTTCGAGATTTTCGGTTTTTGATCGAAAACACCAAGATCTCTATATTAAGATAGTGATATTGAATGTGTGTTTATAGACGAATGAAGAGAGAAAAGCATATGTATAGTACAATGAATTTGTGTATGCCCTTAATCTCAAACGATGTAATAAGTAAGACTAAATAATTTTAGGAAATTAAAAACTATCCATCAATCTCCACAATTTTGTTGACGTACCGGAACATATTCATGGTCGTATTATTGTAAAAACCTTAAATAAATTTACTCATTCTATGTTAAGCCGTTGAAAGTAATCAACCCAATACTAAACTTTTGCCTGCAATCTTGAAAGAATTGGCACTTCCGCCGATAATTTTGATCCGCATCACTAAATGTCACAGTCAGAGGACTTACCATCGAGTAACAACAAGCATTTGTTGAAGAAAAGACCTTTAGTCCGTTGCATTTTGTTTTGTCTGGTAACAATTCCTCGTAAACAATGTTAAAAATACTTAACATGGTTCATATAAATCACGTCAGCCTGACGATAGCGTCTGGCTTAACAGTAAGGATCACTTAAAAAACCGCGGCCTGCTTGAATATCTGGGCTACCTGTTTCTGCCATTTAATTATTTCAACAAGTTATCTGGGTTTTTTTCTAATTATAACACACAATTACGAAACACCTGAATCAATTCATATATTTATTAAAAGCAGTCGTAAATGGAATTACTGAAAGCTCCAAAAATGCCCTAAAACGATCGAGGGTGGGGAGAGTCTGCTTTCCCTCTAGAAACGCTCTCATATGACCACACATATACACCCACTGACATGGAAGTTCTCCTCACTGCCTTCTCACAGCAGCGCCCTTTTTCACGAAATGCACAGGACGAAAAGCGAATTTCCGGAGCTTGAACCGGATTGGTGGGTACGTAAGATCCACCTCATGGAGTTGGAAAACCCTGATTCAAAACCAATCCTACACATGAGCTCCACTATCCTGATGGAACAAATGGCTTATGCACCTATTGTTGGTCACCGAATATCATGCGATTGCATCTCATAACTTTGATCCATTGTCTTATGAATTAAACCTCTAGGTCGAAGGCTCGGTGAGTGGCCTCCTAAGAAAAATTAACCACCTGTTTTGATTTGGGTGCACAGACAGTATTCCATCCCTTACATAAATCGGATGATGGAGTGTGGTGCATATATATTTGGTGTCTTCTTGTACCAATGTTTATATGTTTAAATAAATAAATAAATTGCATTAAACGACATTAAACTTAACTTAAACTGGATACAAGTTGACGTATTACTATTGTCAAGTTTTTAGCTGTTAGTCATTATTACCATGGTATGGCTTATAGAGATTTTCAATCGCATAGTTTATATTATGCAGGTTGATCTTGGTTGAACAACCACTGAAAATCAGGAAGCTTTGGATATCCATCTCATCCTATTCTAGGGTTCCTCATAATGCTCATCGACAACCCCACAGTAGATCGAACCTACGGGTTTCGAGTCTAGTGAAGAGTCCTCAAACGTCAGATCGATGGGCTAGTATCCTCCAACGGCTTGCGTACGTATCAATTACCCACCAAAAGTATCAGATGATGGTGGGGCGATCGATTGATATGTACACCACAGGATCCCGGTTCAACAGTTCAGAAGTTAAGCGCTCGCTACGAGATCTGAAGGTCCCAGGTTCGATTCCTACGAGATCATAAATAAGGAATTTTAAGGGCTATCATACTGGGACGACATCGCTGTCCAGAGCTTTCTGGTTTGAAAATGGTTGTCAGAGGGTAGTGGAAAAACTGTGCATTTACAACGTAGATGAAAATGTCTACAAAGTGTACAGAGCTGTGAAAATAAACTTTGTTTAACTATAACCATTACTCCAAATTTTTTCTCATGATTAAAACTTCCTAATAATTTCTAAATGATTATAATTAGAGTACCTCAAGCATTACAATTAATCGGTTAAAATAGAGAAAGATAATCAGCTCACCTAAATACTTGAGGTAAAAGTGTTTGAAATCTATCGATTAATTTAAACCGATCATTTATATAATTACTTTCTTTTTGTGAGCTAGCTAATTTTTCACTGGAAGGTTTATACTTGTCCGAAGCCTTTTCCAATTCTGCTACCACAGATCGTCTGGAACAATAACGATTTAAACCATCCGTTAAATCAAAGCATGTTCTAACCTAGACAAATAAAGATAATTAAATTAAGTATATGTCATTAACACTGAATAAATTTCGAGTGAAAATATAACTTGTTATGTTTACATCAGGTAGTCACAAAATTCTTAACAGTTTATAGAAATACTCCCAACCGTACTGTCCCAGGTGGGAAATCCCCTTCCGAAATCATGTTTGGAAGAAATATTCGAACTATTTTCAACGCTATGTTGCCACCTAAAACAGTGGATACGCACAGATGAAATCCGAATACCCGAAGTTTTAATGTGGGTGGTAAAGTGTCTGTCAAGTTATACCTTGGGAAGAATGGAGGGGCACCAGGAATAATTGTACAACGAATTGACAAAGTTTTGTTTCGGGTCCGAGGGACATTCTGGACATGCATCAGACACACAAACCAAATCCATAAATATAGAAGAACGCTGCACGCGCCGCGTACTGTGACGATTAACGATACTACCTGGTTGCCCGATAGAAATATAAATCAATCTGGCCCAATAGATGAATAGTAAGAAACTCCCAAATCCTATCTTATCACAACATTAAAACCAAAGATTACAACTACAGCATAGTTTTGTTAGACAAAGCGTGACCCTATAGTATAAGGCATCTAAAAATAAGAAAAACAGTACTTTTTATGAAGAAACCTACCCTAGAAGATCGACGTTTTTCAAGTCCAGCAGTAGTAGTTAAATCATCATTTGATGCCTCAATATTGAAATCACTTACATCATCTTTCATTGTATCATATGCCGCATCAACATTTGGTACTTTCTCAATATTCAAAGTTACAGCATGTTCAATATTATCATTCAATTGTTCACCAAACTTTAAATTAAGAGAAGCTGATGATGATGTTGTAACAGTGTTATTTGGAACTTCATTTACCTCATTAGGAATTGATTCAAAATTAAGTACATTTTTGCACAACAATGATGATAAATCAAGAACTGAATGAATGGCCTAAACATTAAATTAATTAATGAAATAATTTAGTCAAGTCATGTGTAAAGATTGATTAAAATTGAAAATAGATTTCATCATGAAAACATGTCATCTGGAAAATCATTAAAAACCATTGACCAGTTCAGTCAGTTCAGCCATAAGCAATGTAGAATCTGGGACATAGATACATTAGTTCAAGTTCCCATATCATGTTGGTAGATGCGGACTACTTGGTTGGGGTTCGCATAACTATCGTAACCAATGGTTGGAGACTCTGGGTGACATGGCTCAGAATCGATCACAATAGCGTAGGTGTATACACTCTCTGTCTTGCCTTAAACTAAGGGATTAAAATCGCTTCATATCTTTCTTTCTACGAACTAATTCTTTCTTCCTGTACTATATCCTTATATGCAATCTTTCTTTTATATTTTACCATCACTGAATTAACTAATTCTATGAATCCGGTGTTCATCTTGTTGTGCTAATGAAGTATGGCAACTTGGACCGATGCACATATGTGCCTGGTCCTACGTTGTAGCTGACTGACTGACTGATACTATACAATCACAGTGAAAGAAAATTATAAAAACAGATGTCAGAGTAGTCAGATGTATTAACAGTATAAGCGGTAATAGGAAAAATAAGGTGAAAAACAATGTAATTGAAGAAGAGTATATTGACAGAGTAAGAAATGATTTTGAAAACTTAAGATCTAAAAGAAGATAAAAAAGTGAATGTAATCTTCACTAGGATATAACACCTTCCCCTTTTTTTGAAGATCCAAAGTTTAGATTCTGATTTAAAATAATGTATGTGTAACTCTAAATTCTCCAACATTATCCTCCTCCACGAAATAATGTCGGATCCTTATATCTCCAAGTTGCAATTAACATGACTTTATTTAAATCATTTTTCTCACATTGAATAGAGAATCCAATAGAAATGGCTAGATGGTCATTTGATTTGAGGTAATCAGGATTTGGTTCTTCTGAAATACTTTCCACAAATTCATTACGAATCTCATTACTGGATACCAGGTTGCTAGGAAAATCAACATCTAACAAAACTGGATTAGATTTTTGATTATAGCTTGGTTCAGCCGACATATCTTTCTCATTTTTATAAGGAATTTCACCAAAATTATGTGCATTATTATGAGAACCCATACCTGGTACATTGTCATGAGAAATCGCACAAGTTGGTTTACTATGATTTTCTGTCTCCCAATGATTTTGAGTATCACATGGTACATATGGGTTCATCCTATTGCTCCAGTTATTTTCTGGATATGATTACACACAACTTTCTCGACTAATATCACGTGAACCATAATTTTGTTCTAGCTGAAGTTTATTTCCAGAGTTAGACAGCGCCAGCAGTGCTTCATTTAATTCTGAACTTAAGGCTTCATCTACATGATCTTTTGTTTCTTGATCATCTGGTATTGTCACAATTTTATGTGCATCTAGCAAAATATTGTCTTGTTGAGAGCCGGAAAACTTACCAATATTACGTTTTGCTTCATGTATAAAGGGATTTGAACCCTCCACAGGACACGCTTCTGAAATGTCCATTACTGCACCAGTCTGCATCATAAATAGATTTCTTATTTTCTGGTTGAGTGAAAAGTCTGCTCAAAACTGTTTCAAATAGTTGTTGTTGAAAGGCTAACATCTGCTGTTGCTGTTAGTGCTGTAATATTAACTGCAACTGTTCTAAAAAAATCGCCATTTTTTACTGCTAATAATATTAACTCCAAAATCACCGGCAATTATTATGGCTTATTTCTTCCAAAACCTGCGTCACCGATTGTTGTATATATTTTTTTATTCTCCGAAATCCCCATCGCCAATTCGCTATGACTTTATGGCCCACTAGTTATCACGCAATTTACCCACCAACCAAAATACGACTTATACAATCTTAGCACTATGCAAAACCAATGACATTCGGCCGGTATGAGCAGCCTAGCGTCCAAATTGGTCCTATGTCCGCCTAGCCCGTCCGCTTGAGTTCAGAACACCAGTACCAGCTTCCACTATGTGAATCGAGTCGAATCATTTATTTCAAACATACTGGGTTTATATATCAACCAAACAGACCGCAACGCACCAATAAAATAGGACATAACATTTGCACACAATAAAGCCAAAAAGTGGCTGTGAACGTGGGAGACAGTAGTCATTAAAGTGAACATAGCTTACGAAACAGTAAATCGTACAATAATAAATTATAGGTCAAAATAAAGCTTATAATAAAGGGAATATAGATATACATAATCTAGTTACTGAATATTTATATCATGAGAATATATAAATAATATTAGTCCATTAATAGGTCTCAGACGTTACTCGTAATGTAATCTTCACTAGGATACAAAAATAAAGCGAGAAGCAATCGTACATCAAAGTTTCGATAGCAAAATAAATAAATAAAGTACTTACTGATTCTAAGATTAAACGATCGTACATTGCTATTGTTTCTTGAATTAAATGTAGCCAGCTGACAAATGGGTAAAAAAACAGAAATGTTAAAAGAAATAATCATCATTATCATCAATTTAGAGATTGCTCCGTTTGATGTGTTTACATCACTACCCAATTGTAAGCAAAGGTGAATAGCGGCAAACAGTGGAATCCAGAACGCGCATTTCATCCTATTTGGGACTCTTCAGTTGCATGTACCTGCATCTCCGAGTTAACGTTCTTCCGAACTTGGACTTTTCTCTCTATTTAGCGGGGCTTGGACGCGACAGTCTTCGTTCTGTTCTCAGATTGTGTGAACTCGTAGTCTCTTCAAACATAGCAGAGAATCAGGTACATCCAGCCGACGAGTCCCAAACAGAACGAAACGCACGTCCTGGATTCCTACGGACACTGATTTCCAACTGACTGGGTGTGGATTGCATGGCTTGGGTATCATTGCTTAAATGAAACAATGGAGAGAGATGGTTATGTCCCCCCACTATCTGAGGTGCTTGTATATAAGGCCTTCAAGATGTTAATAGACTTCTTAGGCACACCCTTCTCCGATAAGCAATGCGAGAGGAAAGCCTTGTCCAACGAGTCAAAGAAGGCTGTGACACCAAGAAGCACAACGGTTGCTGACCTGTAATAAGTATGGTGGTGTTCTAACACTTGGCCGAGGGTGAAGATATGATCAATACATAAAATATATTACCTATTATGAGCTAAATATAATACTTTGCACATAGTATCAGTATTTTTTAAGCGATAGGGACAGTTGGAAGCAAGGCTGAGCCCCCTCCACTGTGTTCGAAACTCCCATCAACATAATAACTGGAATGAGCTAAAAGAGAGATATCAATGAATAGCGAAAATAAACTAATCCACTGACCTTAAATGTTTCAATGGAGATGGGAATTTAACCAATGGAATTGTTCGTAGTTCTGTTTCAGCATCTTTTTGTCTACGATATACTATTCGAATATTCTGTATTTCTTGATCAATCTAAACAAAACAAATACAATGTAATGTGTAAAACTATAAGCTGCGTATAAGAACGACATGAAGGACAGTACACAACAACTGATACTAAATTTTCACCTTATCACCAACAGTCAGTCATATTTAGTCATAACCAATGACAAACCTGGCACGTATATGCAGTTGAAGATGATACACCATATCAGCACAGACAGATAAAACTCAAAATGGATATCAAAGTGATAGTAGTAGTAGTATCAGCGATAGCAAAAACACGAGAAAAATGCTATGACACGGGAAAGAAAAGTAAATCCACAATATAAAACTAATAAAATAATTTTGAAGTACAGGATCTAAAAAAAGACAAAGATTAGGTGTATCTACGCCACTGTGATCGATTCTAACCCATGTTATCCTACAACTCCAACCACTCTTCATAATCACAGATAGCATCCTAGTCAAGTAGTCTGCTTTATCGCAAACAAACAAAAGATATTCAAAAAGGATTTAGATACTCTTAAAGATAATTTCTTCATTAACTGCCATACAACAGTAAAGCAATAAGACTGTTAGTATCTAAAAGACTTTATGGATATTAGAAAGCTACTGAAAAGGTAAAGCTTTATAACATCTCACAATCTACTATAAACCATATTCTTACTGTCAAACAGAACACACTGAAGAGGTCAGAATTACTATCGAGATAATTTCTGGTTACTGACTAGCATATTTATTACAAATTTTATCTCTAATCCGATAACAATCGTAAGAACATGTGGAAATAACGAAATAAATGACATTCATTCCGTCATATACTTTATTAAATGGTAACAGTGAAGCTTCATAACTCCACTTCAGGTAAGATTATAACGATCTAATGATCAAAATCAAGTCAATTGTAGTCCTCCACTCATTGATGGCTATCAAAATAGTTATTCTTCATGGTTTAAATTACGAACTGATCTTAGTTAGGTCATCACTGAAGGCACAGAAGTACTAGACAGTTGTTTCGTCTTAGTATGAAACTCACCCATAGTACATATGCACGGCCCCGCACCCGGAAATCAACCCCAGGACTTCCGGGTATCACAGAGAGCGCTTAACCTCTAAACCACTGAGCCAGTATCTAACGGTGTACATATCTAACTTCAATCAATTCACAATATTATGAAATCCCCATCCATTTCCTGAAATGGATAACTGTTCCACACCCGACACAGATTAAACTCCTTCGGTCACGGTTTCTCATTAAAACATTAGGAGCCGTATCTTGAAACTATTCACAAGCGAGCATATGATTAGTAGTAGTAGTTTAAGAGAATTTATGGAAACTAGAATTCTTATGAATAAGAACTTTCGTCTAAATGTGATCGAATAGTTTCACAGTATTTGGGCGCCGAGTTGATGTGAGACATTAAAGAAGAATATATTTGTAAAATCTCAGCGAATAAATTTGATGTAAATCCAAGTAAATTCTTGAGAAAGCTTGAACTAGATTGCCAGGCGAAACGTTGGATTTACTTCAAATTCATTCGCTGAAATTTTACAAATACATTCTTCTTTAGAATTCTTATGGTTCAAATAACATGCTGATTTAAACTATAAAAACTCTACAGTCTCCATAAATCCTCCAGTACTAGTAATAATTAGATTTTTTTTATCATATATATAAATTGAAACAGTACATAGTATAAATTACGACTGAACATTAAAAAGATGTTAAAATCCACTCAGTCATAAAAACCAAATAGAACTTGGTATAAATATGCTTTGATCCACGTTGTCACATATTACACCACTGTAGAGAGAGAAAACCAAGGTGAGTAACACAGATGTGACATTAACAACAGTATCAATGCAAGAGTAATAAATCAACGATCATAAAAATATAACTTGGAAATAAGAAATGAAATTCAAAAACGAAATACATAATAATGGAACTTAAGACTTAGAAGTGGTATGGCCAAGAGTGCGGAGAGTCCGCCCACCCTCTCGAAATGCTCTCACATGGCCACACGTATATAACCTCTGCCAGGGAAGTCCTACTCACTGCCTTCTCGTGGCATTACTGTTGTTTACGAAAATGAGAGGAAGAAAAGCGAATGTCTGGCGCTTTAACCGGATTCCAAACCAATGGTGCACATGGGCTCCAGTATCCTGATGGAACACATGGCGTATGAACCAATTCTCGGTCACCGGCTTCCATGGGACTGCATCTCCTTACGATGCTCCACTGCCTTGTGGATCAGACCTTCAGGTCGAAGGCTCGGGGTGTGGCCCCCTAAGAAAACCACCTGTTCCGGTTTGGGCACCCGGGCAGTATCACAACCCTCACACATATCGAATGAGATTTGTGTGGCGCATATGTATTTGGTGCCTCTTTGTAACTATCTATGTGTTAAAATAAATAAATAATAAAAGATTTAGAAGATCAAAAGTGAATACTTTTTAGCTGCATGGCAACTGATTTCGAGCTATGTTGCTTAAACTCTTCAATAATAAGTGCCAATTCTGATATTAAGTGAAACCAGTTAGTTTACCCATAATAAATTTTAGAAAAGATGAAACATATATCCATTTATTTTAAAAATTCATTAATCGAACATTTAAAATATTAAATTTACCCGTTCAGCTTCGTCACATGACGGTAATTGACTCAAAATATCTGGCCTAAATATATTTATATACAGAATTAGAAAATAATAATTACCTTTGCAGGAACAGATCATGAATCATTTCATGTAAACTTGGTTGAATTGTAAGTATTCGATTAATGAAATAAACTGCATATTCACTAAAAGGATCTATTTGTAACATACGAACTGATAATTCTAAGCAAACTAAACAAAAACATACGTAAAATGTTGAAACAATAATCATTAGTATGTGGGGGAAAAAATGAAAGCAAAGTAATGACAATAAATAATAATAGTTCAGGATTCTAGGAGAACGCAAATGAATTTTGTAGTGTTGCGACTGAAATTCCTTGAAAAAAGAGGATATTCACAAGTGTATTGTAGATCATGACAAACATTGAATTTACTCTACAAGTATCCAATTCATATGTACAGTTTTATCTAATAATTTACTGAACTAACTTACTTTCATGAACACATACTTCAAAATTGACTCACTTTATGGTAACAATAAAAGAAGGCATTTATACGGAAGCAGTACACAACTTCTCTCTAGCAAGATTTCAAAGACTAAATCAATCTTAAGATGAAAAGATCCATTGGGATTTCCCCGCGTGGGTTCGAATCCCATCCTCGTTGCCAAATCTTCCTATGTTTGAAGAGATTACGAGTTCACCTATCTGCGAACGTGACAAAATGACCAATAAGCTGGCTATTCCGTCGCAACCCAGCCTAACTAATTAGAGAGAGAAGTCCAAGTCCGAAAGAGGGTAATATATTCCACAAGCAGCTAAAACCATAAACGACCACGAAAAGTCTAGTTGGAAATACACTCATTTATATATTGATTGTACACACACTTTGATTATTAATTAGGATGAAATCACATACACAAAAAATAATTGCAGTTATAACAAATCATATGCTGAGTATAGTTCATGTTAATTTTTAATATAAGAATATCGTATGTTATACGGACTCAACTGCGTCACAAGACAAGCCCTAACATGGAATCCTCAAGGCCAAAGGAAAAGAGGAAGACCAAAGAACACATTACGCCGGGAAATGGAGATAGACATGAGAAAAATGAACAAGAATTGGATGGAACTAGAAAAGAAGGCCCAGGACAGAGTGGTTTGGAGAATGCTGGTCGGCGGCCTATGCTCCATTGGGAGTAACAGGCGTAAGTAAGTAAGTAAGTAATGTTATACGGGGAAACAAAACCGAATACTACACTGAATAATCATTAAATAGAATTAAACCGCAAGTAATGATGAATAAAAATCATAATGATTGAATCGATCTAATTTTGACTTTTCATCCCGTCTTATCAAAGATCTTAAACATTCGATCTTGCCTGATGAAGATAATTTAAATAGGTACATTTACGGTAGATATATCATGATGTATTAAGTAATCAGAGGAACCTAACTTAAAGACAGGATAAAATACGAAAGTACTTTTCTTAAAAAGAACATATTATGCGTTTTATATCCATAGATTTTTATCAAAAAATGCACACGTAGCAATATAACGATGTTTTCGACTATTTCTTCCGCACCATACCTTAACAAGTGACATTGGTTGGCGAAGGAGTAGGTTGGTAGAAAATCAGGAGGAAAAATTCAGTCGGTTTATGAAACTATTGACACTTAGTCTGAACCATGTTGTTACGTATAAACGACTAAGTTGGGATCTGCATGAAAATTTTGACCAATTGTTGGAGACATTGTGTGATATGGTTTCAAATTATTTATGAAGGCTCAGATGTATTCATTCTTGAATTTCTTTTAGATTCTGAGCGTTATTGAAATACTATAATCCTTGACTTCAGTTTTCTTAACCATTTTCTCAACATGCAGTATTTTTAACCATGACTTTTAACCACTTCATTGTCATTTATCTGCCCAATTTAATCTCTCTATGCTGACTTGGTGTGGGAATTTCGCAAAGCGCATCTTAGTGCTAGGTACTACATTATTTGCAAATGAAGTGAAATTAATCACTAAAATATGAGTGTATGCATCCATATGCTTACGATTTTATTAAACTTATTAAATCTCATATTCAAGTGTTCAGTTTGACGACAACAATTGCCTTATTCGATGTTTTAGTTAATCTTGCTAATTTAAATCTTTCAACACAAGAGTAGATTTCCGTTAAAGATTTCTATGTAATAAGTAGACATGATGCCTCACGTGGGAAAAACTATTTGACTCATCACAGTAAAAAAAGATATATGGGTGAAAAATTAATATATATAGCGTACTCTCTAGTTCAGAGACTGCAAAATACAGTGGCAGAGCCAATTGCAATGCAAGTGGATGAGATGGCCTTTTTGTTAATATGTGATCTATTGAATTGATAGCAACTTCAAAGAAACCTGAACGAATAGCAGCACGAGCTAGACGTATCCAAAGACTTAAATCATTCGAATCGACTTGTAAAGCCTAGAAAGAGAAAGAAAATAAAAACATGAAAACTAAAATGTTGAAAAAACAATATTAAAAATAAAAATAAATGGTGTGTACCAAAACAATGCATCTGAGGTTAATCAACGTCAGAAAACATAAATATATATACATAGCACTACAATAAATAAAAAATCTCACTGAAATTAAGAACCGACCCACGTTAGAACAGCATTGGAAACCTGGAAGCACTAGACGGTCGTTTCGTCCTAGCACAGGACTTAGCAACAGTGCACATACACAAACCCACCACAGAAGATCGAACTTAGAACGTTTGGTCTTACGCGCAAATGCGTAACCTCTAGACCACTGATCCGGCATCCAACGATGTTAATGTCTAACTTTAATCAACCCACGATATTTTGCGACCATAATCGGTTTAACTTTAAAAACACATATTCAACTTGATAAACTTATCAACAACAGTCGTCTATCAGCACAGACAAACACAAAAAGTCATCGGTTCAACATGCTCTCAGAGAGAAGAGTGTGCCAATCAGTAAGCAAACAATTAATTTGATTAATCAACAAAATGCAAGAAAGAAACTAAATGATTAGAAAAACCAGTTACTCATGAGTAATACAGTTATAATACACAAATCTCATAAGTGGAGTTGACGAATCCAATGATAATTTTTATCTTACACTGACATCAACTGAATAGCCATCAATATAATGATTAACAACTCTACACTGATTAATAATTTACTTTTATATGGATATTCTAACAAAAATCTGTAGTATATAATAAATAATAACAACTAATCAGAAAGTGAAGGTAAACAAACTGCAGAAAACTCATGGACGAATATAAAGACGTTCAAACTACAGAATAAAAACATTTCTAAAGCAGTCGAAATACATTCTGTTACACTGAGTATTTAGGTTTTGACATATTAAACCCGGTACATAACTATGAACCTCAGCAGTAAAGATAGTATAAACACATTGATTAGTCTTTCATCTCCAAGCTCTGTGTAATTAAACTCCTTTTTCATTCGTAACAGGAAACAAACAACTGAATACTTGAAATACTTTATCCCGTAATTTGAAACAGTTAAAAAGACAAAATTTATAGCAATTCACTCATGTAGCTAAAATCAAAGCTAACAAAGTACCGACTATACATTATAAATATTATCATCGACTGAAGCCGTCTCATCAGCCATTTAAAAGTGCAAAACTTAACAACTGTTTAGCAACAAAAAAGAAGGTTGTTCTGAGCTAAAATAAACACTATTACATTTTAAAATAGTATACCTAATCATAATTTTATTCACATACAATCATAAAAATGTATAAAACAATAGCATGTGTATATAATATATATAAATACTCAAAAGACTTATTATTATCATTGTCATTATTACTATTACCTTACTAAGCAGATCAATACCTTCAGCATCTTTGTTCAATTTGAAGTAAATGTTTCCAAGTAATTTACAACTAGCAAATTTTACCGATGCTAATTGTGGAGTTAATTTCTACAAAATAAAAGTTGAAATAAATTATTCATTAAGCTCTTTTGCCTAAAAAAAATAGAAACACAATATACATCACTAATTTGAAATAAAAAGATAATATCTACTCAAAAATGTTTATTTATTTATTTATTTGAACACATAGATACTGTTACAAGAGGGAATCAGATACATATGCACCACACAGGTCACTTGATTTGTGTATAGGTTATAATACTACCCGGGTGCCCGAACCGAAGCAGGTGGTTTTCTTAGAAGGCCACACCCGGAGCCTTCGACCAATAAATGGTTCATATGCCATCTGTTCCATCAGGATACTAAAGCCCATGTGCACCATTGGTTTGGAATTAGGGTTCTCCAACTCCCCTAGGTGGACTCTCCATGTTCAACAACGCGGTTAAAGCACCGGACATTCGCTTTTCGTCCTCTCATTTTCGTAAACAACACCCCCACCATGAGAAGGCAGTGAGCAAGACTTCCCTGGCAGAGGCTATATACGCGTAGCCATGTGAGAGCATTTCGAGAGGAGCTATCTATCTATCTATTATAAGCATGTTTGTGCGGATGCTAAAAAATCATAAGTATGAAAAACCAATCGAAACAGGATGGTACGAGATTTTACAGAAACTGAAAAAACTCACATTGTTTTCAATGACAAAACTGTTTAGAATGCTTTCCAGGACAGGTCTGGCTTTGCATTCATCATCAGGACAATCAGATGAGCAAAGACGTAAGGCAATATGATACAGTTTGATCACTCTGACCTGGACAGTTAAAAATGCAAATATAAGGACAAAATCAGTTGTGAATACAAAACCTAAAGCATTATCACATTACAATCTAGCCTACTGCACAGAACCCGATTAAGATAAAACTAATAAGACTGTCCTCGAATCCAACATAAACTAAACTGAAATGTCGCACTTAAATACACATTCCTGAATGAAACAAATTTTTAAATGGATGACTATTATTTCATAATTATAAAAAATAATGGTCAGTTTTAATTACCTCTTCAGATTCTCGTGTCTTAGTGGGTTTTAAAAGATTAGTGACGTTCGGTGATATTTCCACCAGGTCCGAAGATTTACAAACGCTTGGAATAATTGTAGATTTAGGAATTACTGATTGATAATCATCGGAAAGAGTGTGACCGACTCTTTCAGGTAAATGCGAATTTATATGCTCATTTGCACCAACGCTCGAACTATTAGAGGAGTCTAAGTCACATAACGAATGCTTGTCTGAAAAATTTAGTGCTTTGAATGAGAACTGTAAAAAGATAAAGCAAAAAGCGGATGTAGATTTTTAAAGGAACAAAACAAGAGCAAAAGCTGGGTCAACACCTCAATACAAATATTTCCATCCAAATATCTCGTTACCAATAGTTTTGTAACAGGTTAAACATATTGCAAGCATATTTATCCTGGAATAAAATTCACCCGACGTAATGCATAACAATTATATTCAATCTAGGATTTTCGTATTCATGAAAAGTTTATCCGCATCAACGGACCATTTAGACCCAGTCGATGTGGTACAGAAAATACGGACTAGGAAATGACATACCAAACTTGAGTCTTCATGTACTAAACAACTAGTATAAACGATAACGAATTTAAAATACTTGAAAGGATAGAAAATCATCGATTTTGATCTGTGATTTATTCACTTGACGGAACACTACATACCATTGCTTTTAGTAACCTTATCCGATATAATTAACTCTGGAAAAAAACGCAGACAGTTGAGATCTACAGACTTCGACAAGATGTTAAAAGCAGCTTTATGAGTTTTATTCAAGACAACTGTTGTCATGTGCCTCATATCAGTAGAGCTAATTCTGCAAATCAATTGATGCACAACTCGATGGGAATATTATCAGTAGATATTTTCCCAATAATTTGAAACATCTTCAATATTTTGAATGACGTCAAAAAAATCATACGGCGTAAATCCGAAGGACAAGTGCGGTCGAATGAAGAAATAGCTTGAGCACTTTAACCAGTGTCCCAGCACTAACAAATGACTGTCAATTAACGAAAGTACTATGATATAGGGACTGTCAAGAAATATGCACCAAAAACATACTTCGATAAAGTTAATTAACATGAAATATCAGGAATATAGCCATTATTTAAACGGCTATAAGACGAAAACAGAAGAGAAATGAGAGTGCACTATGTGTGTGAAGTTTTATTGAAAAATAGCTATCGGTACAATATATCAATTAAAAATGTTATAAAATTGCGACCCCACGCTGAAACACGATTGAGCAAACGATGAGACTCCAACGTTTGAACGAACTATGGGTGAAGCTAAGGTAACCTTGAGACAATCCACATGATTAATATTGTCAGAAGGTATTTGTAAATTTGTATGAGTGAGAACTAAGTTTAAAAATTTGGAATTGGTGTTCGAATTCTAACCCTAATTTAAATTAGCGTTTTAATCAGGAACCGACATCAGTTGCTGTGCAAAAATGAAGCTTAAACATGCAGATCGATGGGATACGCGACAAAATTCTAGACTTTTCGCATTAAATTCATTGTTTCGTCCATAAATTATATTCTTAAAGGGCGAACTGATCACACAAAGTATTATCTACAGGTTACGAACTGGTGAAAATAATTCCATGAGACATTCGTCGAGAAATTTGGCATATGTTGTTCTTTAAAAAGTACGATAACAGCTCTAAGGCTAAAGAACAATATCGAGCCAAGGTCACGCCCGGAAAATAGACGAACGGCCTTGAAAGTATAAATTTAATTAATTTTGGCGCCTTATTATAAACTTTTCACACTCGTTGTTGTCTATAACATGGGGCTACATTTTTCGTGTGATTATCATTACTCAAACACATGTATTTTTTGCCACTGTTCGCAAATATATATGGTACCAACCACACTATGCTGTCACGTATTATCTTGCATCGGTCTGTATAACTATGATTATGGTTGTTGTTTTGAGTACCTATTTTCTGTCGCAATACTAATATAAAGGTCCAAAGCAGTAGATTCGTCAAGTATTAAATGATCATTGCCAAGTGCCTGAAACCATACCAAAAACAATAAGAAACTATTACAAAGTAGTCGATACGGATACGATCTCGCGATAAAGATACTAGATCCCGAATTTTATCGTGGATTGAATCTAGCGATAAACAAACAGTTAAGTCAGCCTAACATATGATTGTTTTTATTTGTCTTAGAGCTCTTGACTGTTTTCATTATTTCCTGCGATAATTTTCTCAAAAAAATTTTGTACTCGTCCGCCATAAACTTCTGCGGCCAAAGAAAGAAAGTGAGGGTATATAAAATACTATCATAATTGCAATCTAATAAAAGTGTAAAGATGCTAACGACATTTGTAGTTTCGCAACGCCCTTACGTCCATAAACTTTTCATCTTTATTGTGCGGTACTATGTCAAGTCAACATGTGTTATTATAGGTTCCGGACAGACCGATTTGTTCATTAATTTCCAAGTTACATTTTAACCGTACCAATTACTAGCTTATTACAATGACAGTATTCATATAGGCAAATGTGTGTTAATTTACTACTTTATTCGTAACGTGCCTGTACCATTTTTGGCCTATCTGTTATTATCAAGCAACGCTTGATCAAATCGATTCGTCTCACTAGCCTACTTCACTTTGTTTTATTTTCCCACTTTTTATTCTGGATAAATGAATGCATGAAATAAAGTTGTAGAATTATGGTCTCCTTCGTTATTAGTACTGATGTAATAATAGACTTTATCCTAAAATCGCAGATGTCATGATATGACTGCTTAATCTATAAAATCGTGTATGGAATTCACACCATTGTCTACACTGGCTCATCGTAACCTAGCACTTAACAATATAGTACTTAGTGCGTCTGAAGGACACACTGAGGCTGACGATAGGATAATATATTCAATGTGAATCAAGGCATGTTGAACAGAATGACCGCGACTGCAACGCTGAGCTACGCCGTCCGGTTGAATGAATTAATTGTTATCGCCCTCTCCATTTTTGACCTTTACTCCGTGTTAATTGTTGAACACGAATTTCCCCAGTTATCTCACGTTCAGCTTTGATGGTTGTGTAGTAATGACCAATACCAATACAAATCTATACAACTCGTCCCGTATCCGACTTCGTAGCAACGTCGTTACACAAAAGAGATAATATACGGAGTTGAATGGAAGATTTGTTTTCATAGTACTTTTGTGCGGTTAAACTGGAGTTATATACAGGGCCAGACACCAACCACTAGATCTGTGATAGCGAACTTGTGACAGAACATTAAGTCGAAAGAGTTGTGATTTCATGTGGGCGGGTGAACACGTTGCTATCAGCCATATATATCCAAGGATCTTAGTATGTTGTCAAGACACAAAAGGTCAGTGTGTATGAACCAGTTGATGAGTATTTCATAATCAAAATATGTCGAGGCGGTGTCTGTAAATTAATCACTTGTCATGGTATTTGCTGATCTTCAGGTACCTGAGGTTAAGAAGGACGATGACAGCTCCAAGACACAACACCCTTCTCAGAGAACAAAACTCCACCTAAGTCGTCCGCCTGAACTATTGCTTTTCCCATGATCATAAATGAATAGATTTACTTGAATTATCCCAGAACGTCTCAATATTGGAAGACTTGGCATAGCTTTGAAATTTTTGGCAGATATTCTGACTTGGACTGCTATTGGTCCAGAACTTTGGCGGCACAATACTTTATGTGGACAAAAACGTCAAATATATCTTGAGACGGGTATTCATATAGCCTAAAGTTAAAAGGCGATTGATACATAATCCGCTCAAATTCACTGTCCTCAGAAGCTCTCCCGCTAAATGATCTCAAACACTTACTCCATTAAAACACATTAACAAAGATCACAGTTCACCATTTTGTGCACATGTCCCTAATACCAATATTTCGCCTTTTCTTTTCAGATTAACAATTTAACATTCCTGAGTGTTTATTAGTTACACACCCAATAATCAAGCAAGTTCCATTCACACAATGCAAATGCACGGCCACAGTGTATATAAACTCCAAATTCTATATGACTGAAACCCTAATGACTTCATTTTGATCTTCTGAATGTTCCTACAGAGAGAAGATCAGTAGTTCAATACCATCTTTTCAGTTTGATACTCATATTTGTTTTCAGAATATTAGGACAGAAAAATCAGGGATTACAATAGCATATGGGGAAAGACGCTATATCATAGATACTGATTTTACAAACCACAATCGTGTATTTCACTGTTCTGGGTCAAGTATCGTTGTGAAAGATCTCATAAGACATGGTTACATTTCATGGCCGAACCGATAAATGCAACCGCGAAGAGGAGAATAACCATGACGTATACATAGATCATGAATATTCATGACTATATTAAACTAGTGGATTCCCATTGAAAGGCTAGCGCTAATCAGCTAAAAAGGACCAGTTATGTGTGGACTGAGGATGCATTATGTGGTTATGCTGATGCATTATTCTATTTATTTATAATGAAGTATATCACAACCAAAACGATGGAACGCTAACTTGAACCCTCTATTGGTGAGATTTGAACGGGTTCACATGTTGAGTTGTCTCTTCGTCGCCCAGAATATTGAAATTTAGTTCTAACAAAACCGAAACTAGACCATGTTATAACTTGTCGTTTGAATGCTTGTTGTCTTGGTTCTTTTAATGCTACTTTTTGCAACATCCAAGTTCTGCTCGTTCCAGTTATTGAAGTACGGACCACCGATCTACTTGCAAATTACAAACCCAAATTAACAATAGAACCGAACTCCAAGTTAGATACCAAATTTATTCGATATTCACAAATAGTCGACCAAACGTTGCTCTAACAACAATAATTATAACAGTTACAAAACCCAGAGAAAAACTACCAAATACCAAACCAACGGCAAAGGGAAAAAATGTCCGAAATAATGATATAAACAAACAAGTTCAAAAGTTAAGTAAAACAAATACATCCAAAAACACGGTAAATTATTAATATACAATAAAAAGGTTTCGATCCGCCAAATGTCTTTAGTTCTCCTGTAACACCACTCTTGTAAGAAATCACTTTCAACGGAGATTGAAAATAGTCCTTTAGGATATTCTGTCTCGTCTTCCTCCAATATTAGTTTTCCTGCCCAATGTGACTTTTAACTATCCTATGTATGAGTATGAGGAGTATGCGTGACGATCGAACAAAGCTATTTCGACGGTTTCCTACTAAATTATAGTCGTACAATATCACTGAATGAGATGATAGGTAAAATGTGCTGAACTTTATAAACAGTAACTGCACTAATACAGTGAGCCGACACACCACAAGGCTTGTGCCTCTTCTAAAATTCGCAATGTTATTCAAGAAAATGGCTATGATATATATGGTTCACACCCCGGCACCAAAACACCAGCTGGTATAAAAGCGAACTGATGTTTTCAATAAACCCGCATTCCTGTGTATTTATGTTTGAAGTCCAGCAATTTATTTTGCATTGCCAAATGAAAGGTAAATAGTCGTTCAAACAAAAGTTTTCGATAGTACTTGGAAACCATTCACGTATGTACCAAGGATGATAAGATTACTAAATCGGAGATATACTCAGGGAGATAACTCAGATCGTCCTCGGGCGCTGATTGGGCGCAGGTGAACTTAACAAATGTTACTTAACTTTGCGCACTGAATTACAGTAACCCTCAAGGAGTTATGGGCAAGTATCTCCTAAAATGCTTATACGTAAACCTGTGATGGTATATGAAAAATGAAAACGCGTTTAGTTAACGAGTGCCGTATCATAAAATCGAGATTCAGAGCAGTCAATATAACTGACATCGGAATATTTCATACAATGTCTAGTCAATGTCAGTTGAAGAGGCAGAGGCATTCACTGAGTAAACTTGCTAGCCATCCAATCAAACTTTGTACTGATCTTTTAGTAAATGAAGTCGAAACCTTAGGTTTTATGATGTTTTTCTGAGAATATGTGATCTTAAATAAAAACGTATACAGGCTACACATTTATTTATCCTTCAAGCATAGTTTAATTTTCCACATGAAGCCCGAAGTCAACTTTTTGCGGATGCAGGAAAAATTTCAAAGCTTCATTACCACAAATCTTAATGATTGACGTGAAATGACTAAGGTTCATAAGTTTGTTTCAGTGAACCATGATGCGGTACTCTTCCAACTAGTAACACTTTTAAATGTGACGGTGTTTTCGTAATTAATTAGGACGATGTTAGAGATCCTTTTATCCCCTGGCTCTCTTAGCTGGGGGAGAGGGCTTTTGTGCATTTTTTCTGCATTCGTTGTTGGACTTAGTGGTGTAGTCCCGCTTCTATTTCTCCCACTAGATAGCATTTGTCCTGGGAAAGGTAACTGTGTATTACCATCATTTCTTCCAAAACAAGATGTCATTTCTCTCAATAGGTGGCTTAGTTATGCTACTGGAAGTCTTCTTGGTGAAGTTTTTATCCATCTTCTGCCAGAATCCTGGATTAACAGTAAATGTGGCTAAATGTTAACGACACAAACCAACAATATTGTTGGCTATTTATAATTCGTAGGTGACATCGACACACTTCAAATTCCTGGATTTTGGATACTTAGTGGACTTCTGCTGTTTTTTATTATCGAGAAGTTATGTATTAATGATTCTACTGAAAAAGAGGTACGTCTTTCACTATATATATGGTGAAGTACTTCAGCTTAACAATATAAACTTATTTACTCCTTTGTCTTACTTTTGTCTCCAAAATAAAAATGTTTTTCTTATAGTACGGTTGTGGATGATGACTCGTTCTGGGGTTAGTTTCGACTTCGGCCTCTTGCTTGTAACGGCTTTCCATGTGGTTTTAACCGCTGGTCTATCACGATTTTTAAGATATTTTACATTGGTACCAACTTCACTTTATTAGCATGTCGTTAGATGTTGGTGGAGGCCATACTCTTAAACCAAAGATCAGTGCCAAAACTCGAACTTCGGCAAAAAATAGACCCTTACATTTTGATCGAGACAATGTTTAGATGTGTTTGTACCACCAGAAAGATTTTCATGTGAACGTACATCCCTTCTAGTCATGACTTCAAAACCGACAGTATTTGAATACATAAACCGTATTCAAGTTTGCTCATTCCCTTGTCTATAGTTTTAAATTCGACTCCATTATTACAAAGCTGTCAAAATAAATGTAATAATTGAGGAAACTTACTGATTAGAACCTGTCTTCGTTTCATGGTATCTGTGGTTGTAAAAGACTGATACAACCTCAGATGTTTGACTATGATGTGTGATGTCGTAACACAATTATTTAGTTTTTCTTTATCCAGTATAAACTACTATCTCCCTATTAGTCAAGCAGTTCTACATATAAATTATAATTGGACATCAGTAAAAATGATCCACAGAATTACTCGTACCATTAAGAAAACCAATCTAACTATTGTTCCTTATCAGTTGTTACTTTCTAACATTATGTGTTACCAAGGTCTCCCTCTGAACACCGTCAGAGACTATATTAAGAGCAGATTTACCGACAAACTATCCCCATATAAGCGAAATTATATAAAAGAAATACAAACCAGTGATCGGCTTTCATGTCACGTAAATAGAACAATGAATGACACGAAGTAGAACCTACCCGTCAAATGCGTTTTGATTGATTACCATTAGGGCGTAACAGTCGCGTTCCAAGACTCCTAAATCAAAGCTAGCGTGTGAACTTTGTAATATTTAAACAAGATGACCTTATGAAGAGCTTGTCAAAATAAGTATGATTCTGTCCTTACTTACGCCTCGTGGAGGAGCATAGGCCGCATACCAGCATTCTTCATCCAGTTCTGTTCTGTGCAATCCTTCAGGTTCCTTTCAGTTACTATTCATCCTTTTCGTGTCTGTTTCCGATTCCCGACGTAGTGTGTTCTCCGGCCTTCCTCTTTTATGTTTCCCTTTAAGATTGCAAGTTAGTGCTCGCACTGTCATGTAGTTTGATGATTTCTGTAGTGTATGTACTATCCACTTCCAACGCCTTTTCCTAATTCCTTCTTCATTTGGTAGTTCGTTTTTCCTCTCCCACAGTAAGTTGTTGCTCATGGTATTCGGCTAACGGATACTGAGTATCTTGCGTAGACAACTCTTTATAAATACGTGTACCTTTTTGATGATGGTTGTGGTAGTTCTCCAAGTCTCAGCTCCGTACAATAGAACTTTCTTGACGTTCGTATTGAAAATTCTGACTTTGATATTGGTTGACATTTGTTTTGAGTTATATATGTCGTTCAACTGTAGGGATGCTGTCCTTACTTTGTCAAACATTACCTTTACGTCCGTATCGAATCCTTCTTGTTTACTGATGATGCTGCCCAGATATGTGAAATTTTCCACCTCTCCCAGAGTTTTTCGATCAAGTGTTGTTGGGTTGATGTTCTTCGTGATGTATTTGAGGATCTTGGTTCTTCTCTTGTGCATGTTGAGGCCTACTGATGCAGAGGCTTCTGCTAAACTGGTTATCTTGACCTGCATTTGTTGGTATGTATGGCATATAAGTGTTAGGTCGTCTAGCTACATGAAGGCTTTCCATTGTATTCCGTGCTTCCCGCCAGATGTGGAGGTCTTTGTAATCCAGTATATAGGTAAGTAGTTACGGTTTTTTAGACTCTATTAAGGTTATTCGTTGGGCTTGGTTATAAATTAGACAGAAGGAAACACATTCAGCGTATAAATCTTTTGTTTTCAAGCTTCTTGTTAATGGCGTTTGTTACTACTAATTTCGGAGTAATTAACATTTTATTAAGCTCACCTTAATTAGTTAAATTAGTCGATTATCACACATGGAATATATAGTATATAACAATTTTCTAAATTTCCCTTGTGTATAACGCAGTCAGCCATAATTTTCAGTGCACAGGGAATCGATTCTGATTAATTAGAATTTTTCTAAACAGGGTTAAACAACTGATCATTTGAGCCATAATAACCACTGCTATATGTCATTATTTCTGAGGTTTTCGGATATTCTGATCCCAACTTTGCGTTATGACTGATATGAATTCCAATATCTTCTGGATTTTGCTTATTTTTCCACTGCTATCAAACCATGTTCGTGGTCTCGTGCAGATAATGACATGGCCTTTTATCTGAGGTCTTGCTTGAAGTTATTTGTGGTGTTTGTTCTAGCTACTCTGTCAATTAGGTTTATGTGATTATTACCAAGCGTTTTTTTTCACCCCCAGTTCAACTGATTGATTCAGGAAGACTAAAGTTTGCATTATTACTTTTTCAGGTCGAAGGTTATCTCAATCTTGCTGCCAATATAATTGATAACTTTACTCATGGTGTGGCTATTGCTGGAAGTTATCTTGTATCTCTTCGTGTAAGTTGACCTTTAAGAAGTTTTTAGCTTTCTGTAACCTGTGCCTCAAAGTGAGAGTGACGAAAAAACTTAATTTATGAACGTTTTGGGTACGTTTATGCTCCAAGCGTCTTTAACTTCTTGATCCAGAGATATGTACTTTTGAATATTCCTTAAAAATAAATTTCCCTTCTGTCTTTTATTACAACCGAGGTAGATCACAAAACGTACATTTTTTAAAAAATGATACAGCGATTGCCTTTGTGTTTTTGATTCAGATAAGGGATAGTATGGCTTCAGAGTTCACCTTCACTAGTCTCCAAAATTTTTATAAATTGTGTTGTTGCTGGACTAGTGAGTAATGAAATAATTGTCGTAAATGAGCAGCATATCATTTTCAACACAGTTAACTACGACTAATGATAGGATTTTGATTTAACGCTTACCTGTTATATGACAACACAGTATGTGACAACGGCTAATCTTGGTTTCATCTCTCGCCATTCCATCCTTCTAATATGATTGATATAAATATTCCATTCATAGTTATCTAATATGGGTATCACGATTGGGCATCAGAACTCCCACACAAATATAGAAATTTTTGATTAAACAGTTGTAATAACAAAACGTTAGTCACTGGTAAATGAAATATATTTAAAGCAGAGATATATGATGGTTAGCAATGGAATCCAGTTTATTTATTATTTTTATTTATTTTAAAATAAATATTGGTACAAAGCAGCACCAAAATATATATGCATCCCACAATAACAATGAGAATATGAAGAGATAGAGATTGTAAAGTGCACATAAGAAAAAGGAGAACAATAACGAACAGAAATTAGTGTATGAGAGTGAAATAATAATAATACTGGAAAAAGTAGTTTAGTTAAGAGAAATATGATCGGGAAGAAATCCAGTTAAATAAGTTACTCCCACTTATATGAAGAAAATATAGGAAAGTTTCAGCAGAATAGTCGCTGGCTTCTCTTCTGGGCCATACCAGATAACGTCTCAAGCCACTGTGTTGCATCATCCCTAGGATCCCGACCAGGGAGTCCTGAAGGATAAAAAAGCCAGTCCTGTACAGCTTTCTTTCATACTACAACACCATATCATACACTGACCACTTCTCCACTTGTTCCAACCAGTCCCAGCGTCGGCAAATAATACACGACGTGGAACTCTCCGAGACGGCATTCGCAGAACATGTCCACACCACCGGATGTGATGCTTCAAGACAGAGACACTAACTGAATTACCATCACTTTGCCTAAACACGTAGTGCTGAAATTTCACATTACTAACATGGTGTTGACACTGGATGTCAGCAATCTTTCGGAGATAACGATGATTAAACACAGAGAGTCGCATAACACAGTCAACTCGGAGAGGCTCGGTTTCACAAACATAGAGCAAAACTGCTCTCACCGACGCGTTGTAGATCAGACCTTTTTCAGCTACACTAACATCACGAAGGCGCCAAAGATGGCCCAGATTGGCATAAGTACAACGCTGTTCTAACACTTGGTGGTGGGTGAAGATATGACCAATACATCCTCCACCAGAACGAAAACCAGCCTGCTTCTCGGTTTTTCAACAATCTACGAGGTACAACGAAGCCAATAGTTTCGAAGCAGTTGGAAATAGACTTATCTCCCCAGACAGTTGTTACAGAAACGACGTGAACCCTTTTTAAAGATAAATGTGGTGTAGGTTATTTAAATCCATATAAGTAGTATATAACGGTGGTCAGGCATAGAATTTATTTCAGCAGAAGATTGATAAGGAAAGAACGGAAACGGAAAATAGTTGGTATGAAAATGCATGGACAATGAAATCTGAGACAATTGAATGATATTTACTAAAGAACAGTCAAATTTGAGACGATTGTTTGATATTTTGCAAATTAACTATTTACTGTATGGTTCTCGTTTATAGTCAAACTCGAGGTCACCTGGAGTAGACCGATGGGCTTCAATGGGTTGTAAGGAGCCTGAAGAGACCCAGTGCTTATAAGCGGGATATTTCACGAAGTCACAAGCGACTTTACTTACCATTTTCATGGCGTTGTGCAATTGCAACCAGTGCTCACCTATACTTTTCGATGAGATGGTAGTTAGCCTTGAACCTGGCTCGGTTTGATATTTAGTTGCAACAGAATCCGCAACCAATTTACTGGCATCGATCCGTTTAGGATGATGAATTTGTTAACCACTGAAACGTAAAGTGAGATTCGCACAAACGAGAGAATGATCAGTTTTCAAATAGGTACTCCAAAAGGAGCTGTAGTCTCGTATACAACCACGCCAGCGGTAACTGACCGCGTTTCTCACCGATTTCGCACTTTGATGGAACTTTCTAATCTAACAGCACATAAATGACTGTTAATTGAAATCCATCCGATCAGTGCCGCCTCAGCTCTAGCTCTTAGCGCAACATCAACAAATATGACAGGTCTCCGGATAAACGCACGTGAAATAAGCCTTTCAAGACTACAGATGGAGAGCGAATTCGCAGTACTTTACTAGAGTCTTGAATAGGGGTCTCGGATAGACAACAGACGTCAATATTAAGACTTTCTAAAGGCAGCCAACCCTATCTGTTGTTTTATCTGCAATAATGTGCGAACGTTGAAGAGAGCCAGTTTGAATGGTGTACCTTGTTTCAGAAAAACTTTCAGCATTCGTATTCAGTGGTAGTATTCAACTTTTGACCAATCAGTGCCTCAAGATCGTTTAGATAGGACAGGGCTCCCACCATAGGCGATCTGCTGTATAAGTTGATAAAATAAGAATACGCAAAGTGAGAGTAGAAGAGAGTACATAAGTAACGTAGTGTATAAAAATGAATGTGAATTGTCTGAATTTTAATTGAAGCAAGAATAGTATTTCCAGTAGTAATTGTCATTTCATTTCATTTGTATGTGGTACTGCCCGGGTGCCCAGACTGAAGCAGGTGGCTTTTTTAGAGGCGCCACACTCGGAGCCGTCGATTTAAAAGTTTGATCCACAAGACAGTGGAGCAACGTCAGGAGATACAGTCCTATGGTAGCCGGTGACTAACAACTGGTTCATACGCTATTTGTTCAATCAGGGTCGCGGTGCCCATGTGCACCATTGGTTTGGAATCAGGGTTTTCCGATTCCCCTCCGTATCCACCAACCCGGTTAGAGTGCCAGACATTATCTTTTCGTCCTCCAAACTTCGTAAACAACACCCACGCCCTGTAAAGACAGTGAGTTCGACTTCCCTGTCAGTGGCTGTATACACGTGGTCATATGAGAACATTTTGAGAGGGAGAGCTGACTTTATCCACCCCCGACTATCCCAGGGCATTTGGAGCCGGAACGTACGTTTTATCGTATTTGTGACTCATCAGCTGGATGAACAGTTGGATTCAAACAGTCATTACAAAAATGAATTGAAATCTATTTAACTTACTATCATTTCACTCTTCGTTTTAATATATAAGAGTTTCTGAAATATTTCCAATTCATATGTGTATATATTTACTTAGTAAATGTCATCAGCTCAGATAAATGGCAGTATTTTATTCTGACTATCTCAGTTAGGGATTTTGACGACTACCTGCATATTAGTCCATGAAGTTCCTCATGAAATGGCTGATTTTGTAATTTTACTCCGAAGTGGGTTCAGTCGGTGGGAAGCTGCTAAAGCTCAAGTAAGTCAAGATTTTCGCCAACTTTTATAGTATCATTAAAATACAAATTTCTTATGGTTTCTCATTCGAATTAATTATCAGTTATTCCAATTGGCTTCAGTTTGTCACTTAATTCGTTATTGACCAACGAATAGGCGCGTACTCACTACAATACAAAGCATTAGTTCTAGTCTTTATTTTTTTTAAACAGTGAAGTAGATAATATCACTTACAAAAGAAAATGAATCATGAAATTGAAACGGAAACTTATTCGGCCCTTACAGCAAATGCAAAAGAGTAATTGACATGAGTTATAGTAACTGAATGAGGATTTTGTAATTTCACAAAACTTTAATATTTAGTTCTTTTACGTGAGCACCTCTTGATATTATATTCGAAATATCCTTACAATGTGTGACCAACAGGTTAACAGTTGTCCAATATCAGATCAAAATATTTGGGTAAAACCAACAGAATCGCTATTACAAAATTTTAATGTGTGTAATATGTAGTTGTAAAACCTGTCAAAGTTGTTCTTTATAACATTAGATGAATAAAATTTATTATGAATTCTTAAGATTGCGATCACGTATGTTTTCAATCAAACGAATCAGAGACTAATTCAACCCTCGGTTACTTGTAAACATTGTCCAATTTAGTTATAACTTACCTTTTGGAATGAATTCAAGACACAATATTTTAGTCATTAACATTCAGGAATGTATTTAAGGAGTTTAATTTCAGTGTCATTACTTCTGTGCAATACCCCAGGCTTCCTAAAAGGTAACTACAGTTAACTCAAAATTATTATGCGGATGATCTATGTGCAGTTACCTTCCCCCAACACTGTTTTCAAACCTTAGGAGCGAGTAAGAAAAACAAAGAGTAATCAAGTAATAAGATGGCGGAAGATAAAGCTGGGTTTTTCCATCGAAGTAACATCATCTTACTAGTTATGACCTATTACCTTTGGCCAAAAACACCATGCGACTAATTGTTTTAAGATGTTTCCAGCCAAACTTAATGGAGATCTTGTTCCAATTTTATTTTCTGTAGTTTTGAAATAATGAAGTATATTTTCAATATGATACTGGGCAAATGTTGTCTTTACCCACATATTGTCACCACCAGTTAAACGAAATGTAAAACTGTGAACCCTCTACTTTTCTCGCTATCTTTAAGTTCAAGAAATTTGTCCTGTTTTAAATTTCATGCCAGCAGGTGAATTTTAAATCTGGATGAACTAAACTGAAGTACCCAGTTAATTGACCAACCTGATCTCTGTTACTACACATGATTAAAAGGTCATCATACGTAGAGTTAAACTAAAATGACTGATGCAATGAGTAGATGTGACCATTTAGATGTTTATGTCAGTTTCTAAACAGCATAGCACAGTGAGGATAATGGTCGTTTAGTATACCTAAAATATTTGTATTACCTTATTCAAGTTAGATATTTTAAGTCTCAGGTTCTCATAATCACTGCATATACTATAGCCAATGCCATCTTCAAATAAAAGTGGTCTTTTGTAATTTTTACGAAGATACTAAATCAGTTACTTCTATTGCTTTAAATTGGAATACATGACTCAGCTCAAAAATGCAGACATAACTATATTCATGTTAATCTAAAGTAATCCTTGTGTTAATTTTAAATCGTCAATTTAAGTGTTTATTGATATTTTCAGGATTGTGTATGTCAGATAAATACTGCTAGTCACTTAACAGAATTAAGTGTGAAGGGCTATTTTAGTCCTTCAATAAATGATTCCTGTCATTATTTCTTTCCTAACGAAAATTTATCTGTGGCTCATTTTATTAAGGCGTTTACACAGTTGTGTCACATATTTGAACTACGCTATTATAGGTAGCCGTTAGTTTCTTCAGTCCTTCCACACAAAGTGTTTCAAGATTTGAGTACAAGAACATATGGGTCATTATTGAGTTTTATTAGGTTATTCTTAAAAACAATTAACTTGCTAATAAATTTTTTATAAACTAACGTTTTTTGTTTCAGTTAGCTACAGCATCTGGATCTACTTTAGGTGCCATTCTAACACTTTGTGCTAATGCTTCAGTAACCGGTAAGTATTAATACAGCTAGAATGATTCACTAAATTCCAATTATTTTAAACTTTTCTTAACTCCCAGAGATAGTTTGGAAGTAATTTGTAATTCCTTCACACCATTTACAATTTATGATGCTTTTATACTTCATTTATTCAATAACTGCTGTACGTAAAAAAATCAATAAATTGATAAAATCAACAGATTATAATCACCAACGTTTTTTATGACTTTTGCTTTCCGACATGCTGAATATTTTGTTTGTCAGGATTTTGTTGAGCTTACTTGTGTGTAATTCTGACTCACTGAGGAAATAAATGAATGATAAACATAGGAAAGCTAATATAATTTCTATTTTTAGTCTACTTAAAGAACCATCATATTGATGAACAACTGTCTTCTCCAACTTTTCAGATCTTTTAGTTGGGACTGTTTAGTAGTTTTATAATGACTAATTATTAATTCATTGTCAACTGTTTGGTAATCTGCTTCTAAAATATTCAGTAAATATTCCACTTTTTAATCCAATCACATTTTACGAGTTATATAGTTTAGAATTCTAATTCATGATAGATTATTAATTAGTAGTCTATGTGTTTGGATTTTATCCATTAGATGACAACTCAGGCCATTCTCTCCTATTCTAATCTGAAGAGCTGACAAATATCACTGATGTTCACATTAATAGGTTTAACGTAATATCTTGCGAAGTACAAAACATCTAAAAGAACTAGATTATATAGTTGAATGATGATATTCACAGACAACAATTTAGCAACTAGTACTGTAGTGAACAAGAACATTAGTGGGGAGAATCGAATGTATTTAACACGAAATTACAGGACTTGTTAATAAAATCTAATGATCATAAAGTAAATGCTTAATTTGCAAAATGTCCACCAATTGTCTCAAAATGACCCAGACTTCATTTTTCTCGCATTTTCATACAAAATTCATCCTTTATCGTTCGATCCTCTTGTCTTTCTGCTGTCAGACTTTCTGTTCGCGACTAACATCATATACTACTTATGTCAATATAAGTAGTACACACCACAGTACCATCCGAATTCTAAAATTCAAAACATTTCAGTGTCATTACATTAACTGAACTGGATAGTTCAATCGTAAAAGTTTTCGTTGTCTTATTAGAAAGTACCAACTTAAAAAAAATAAGTTTATGTTGATAACATCATAAAGTGAAGAAAATGCGAGCTTCACAATTGTACTATTTCGCTCAAAAATTACAATTCATCAAAAACTTCCTACCAACTTTGTTCACCAACTTAAGATCAAGAAATGTAATACAATATAAATTAAATCAATTATTCTTAACAATTCTACCTTGTCTTAGTCGATTCTGGACAACCAACAAAACATTCTATATAAATTACATTGAAAAACTATCTTAAGATATTCACTTGATGTTGTATGGGTTGTATATTCCCATTGAGGTTTAAGACGGCAATTGATCAGTCTGTTATTGGCATATGTGCATACTGTGCGTATATCTCGATATTAACTTAGTTCACAAGCTATTTGTAAGCAACGATGGATAGTGGCTAGCAGCGGAATCCAGGACGCACGTTTCGTCCTATTTGGGACTCGTCAGCTGGATGTACATGCATCTCAGAGTTGATGTTCACTCTGAGACTCGAACCCAGTACCATTCGCTTCAAACGCCATTGCGTTATCTTAAGATATTTTAAGATATGCATATACATGTACAGTAAATTCATTTGTTTAATGAATTTTTATATAAATTCACAGAACATTAATGTCTGTTTAAATTGAATTAATCTGATAGAAGTTTTATTTAAAATTTCTCAATTCCAATTCTATTATAAACAATATGTTTTTATGAATAATGAACAAAATATCCAGTTTTTATGATTGTTATTGTTGATAATAATAATACTAGACTTGATTATTGCTACATATTATATACATGAATAAAATAATCTATAAAGTATATGAAGGCCATATTCAATACACTATACATATACATATATGGTCTATACCAGTTACAATGATAGTAATTCATGATAAATAACGACCAAAATTAAGTATCCTTTTTAGATCGTTGGCTACAATCAGTTTATTTAAACTATGATTAGCTTAATGACACTTGATTATGTTAAATAGACTGTTGTAACTAATGTTTAGATTTACGTTGTGTAAGATAGAGAAATGGTATTATTTTATAGTTTTTATGTAAATTTAACTGTTTGTTATAAGTACGGTTTTTTAAGCAGAGTAAAATGTGTTGGCTAACAATGGTATCCGAAACACATAGTTCGTCTTATTGTGGGTTCGTCAACTGGAGGTACTTGCCAAGTTCCAGTATTGATGTTCACACCAGGGTTCGAACCCATTATCTTTCACTTCCAATGAACAACGTCTTATGCATTTAGCTACCGATCCTAGATAGCCACTGGCTTGTACAATGAGTAATAATTTTAATTTAATTTGTATTGGTTGTTCTAATCTTCTCATTAATATTATGAACTGCAGTCGATCAGTCTTGATTATACTTAATGACAATATCGAGACAATCCTCAGATGATGCATATATCCCAGACGAGGCCGATCTATTGCAGTCCATAGCATCAATGGGATTATTTAAATAACCGATACAAATAATTTGTGAATTCAATTATTTATAAAAATTGTATTCAAAATAATTTCAGCAATTGAAGTCTTAATAATTTCAACATTGCGTACAGCAAACTTGTTTGAACTTCTTCAGGGTAATAATCGAGCTATTTGTTCAAAGTATGACGAATATTCAGACTTATATATATTAGTGCAAATGTACGGAACTTCAAAACATTGATATTAGTTCATAGAAAGTTGGAATGTATTACCATAAATTCTATATTTTTATCCTGAAAACTTGATAGAGTGACACGTGAACATATTAAAGTAGAACCTGGCACAAAGAGTGCCTATAATAAATCTGAGGTCTTGAAGTACCTAAAACTCCTGCGCACAATTTAAGCAAATATCCTTGTGCAAAAAGTAACGGCGAATTAAGAATATTTATGTAAATTATTATAGTGCAAATGAAAAAAATAACTAAGATATATTTTAATTCATTTTTGTATTGGTTGTTTGAATCTTTTTATTGATGTTTAGGGTTGCTAAACATATATTTTGTTTATCGAAAGGTACATTTTATTGTTTAACTAAACTAGGAAAGAAAGCTTCCACATTGAGTTTGAATTCGAAATATAACTGGAGTCAACTCAAAGCAACTAGTAGCATGGTCTCTGTGATCGAATGTAATAAGTTATAATTCGTTAGATGATGTCACTCTGATGGAAAATCTAGCTTTCTCTTACGCCATCTCATTATTTGACTTCTCTTTGTCTTTTCTACTCATTCTAGTGTAGCAAGCAACACTGTCTATGGTGATCATATAAATGTTGTACGTAAAACGTTCTCAAATCACCGAAACCAGTGTTTTAAAGTACTTTCAACGATTAAATATAGATCCCGATAAGCTGAAACACTTTTCGCTGTACCTTAGGACTATTTACCCGACGTAGTGTCCATATTGGACCATCTCTTATGAGACAACTACATTTGAAAATCTTCAGTCTGGAGTATAGATTTCACATTCACCTAGAAGTACTTCCTGCACCAAATCTTTATAACCAAACTAACATCGCAATAATAATACAGATTAGCACAACTTTGTCTGATTTATAGTATAAAGGATTTTATTTCGCTAGTCATACTATCACAATTATTTACACAACTGTTTTCAACAACGTGTTATTCAAAGATGCCCACAGGTTCCGAACTCTTTTAATCTTGTCGTAATTTGATCAACCAATTATAGTACTGAAATCAAGCAGAACAATTGCTGTTTAATTCGCTTGTTTGCCATTTCATATTTCGATGAAATTTTCCGGAAACTTAAGGTTGAAAAGTCACTTTCATTATCACAGGTTTTAGATTTTTTAGACAACTCAACTGACTGACGCGTCCTTACTCGATCTCTGCTTACTTTTTATACATTTATATAAGCGTGATATTGTTGCTTTTGCTAACTAAATGAATGTCTCCCTAATATATATTGATGAAGCACGTTAAAATGCTTAATTTATTAGTTTTTTGAAGTATCCCAACATTTAAATAGAATATAATAACCCAATTTATATTAAGTAACTAAATAATCCTAAATAGAACAGATTTCAATGTATAATTTTTGGAATTGTCATAGCATCTAGGTTTCATTATTGTTGATGATCATCATAAATATATGTGTGGACTGGGTTTCTACCTGGATACCCAAAACAAAGCAGTTTGTTAATTGGTGAGCTACTTTTTATACTTCTGCCATTGAACTCAAATTTATTTTATATATGCATCAGTAAGCTTATTATAAATACTGGAAACTATAAACTTTAACTACATCTGATAACTAAAACAAATAATTCAAAAGTTAAGGAAAGGCTTTTAATTTCTCCCGTATTTCTACCATGATTTGTACTTTTCCGATATATTTCAGATGTACTGTACTTTGGTGATACTGATGGAAAGCACTGAAATACAGTTGTTAAGTTCTTGTCTGTGATCCAACACATTGGCTATATATTATAAACCAACTATTTTTGATAGTAATCTGATCTATCATCTAATAATACGCTAATCAGTATTATCATTATCTATATATACTTCATAGTCTATTTATTTATTTGGAATTCTCCATAATGTGATTTTCTTCAATTTTACAGGTTGTACAACAAAATGGATACTTCCATTTACTGCCGGTGGCTTTCTGTACATTGCATTGGTTTCTCTTCTGCCTGATATTTTAAAAGAGTTATCATTTAAGTAAGTTGTAGAAACTTTATAATTTCAACTAATGTTAATAATATATTCAAAAATGAAGAATATTTGGGCGAACAATTGTTTTCAATAACTTCATCATCAGGCTCTACAGTTATAAGTCCATAATTATAATATTTTACAAAGGCCAAAATTAAAGCATATATTAATGTATTTAACAATGTTATGTGTTAAAAATGGTGAACGTTTGCATCTGTTACAATATATTTATACTTCAAAATTGTATTATTTGCAAATTAGAACATGTACCAGGTTGGTTGAGAAAAGGAGTTACCAAATCGATTAACAGCATCATTCTTTCTCACTTGGTAGATAGTGAACATCATATCAAAATAGAGGAAGCTCTCTCTGTTTTATATCAAGTTCCAAAATATCTACCTCAAGGAGCCAGATTACGACTGCTTTACATCAACTCCAGAAGACCAAATTTATGTATCCAGAAAAAATATATCCAGTCTCTTTGTTTACCTTGACCTACGACTGGATCACCGAATACCTAGACTGAATATTATAAACCTCTTACCCCCTTTATTTTTATTTATTTTCCTCTGTCTTAATCTTCACATCCATCATCCCCAATTCGTTTATCGTAATTACTTTGATAACACCCCCCCCCTTATTACATATTATATTCACACAGCAATCTTATTATTATTATTATTATATCTCAATTGACAAGATTAAATTCTTCTACTATGCATTTTATTCACACAATTTTTTGCATTTTCAACTTTGCTATAATACTTAGTGTGACTTAACACTTTACTCCAAATCATCCTGACCTTTATTGAATGACCTTTCTAATCTGTCAAATAATACAATTTTGAAGTATATATGTCGTAACAGATGCAAACGTTCACCATTTTTAACACATAACATTGTCAAATTCATTAATACATGCCTTATTTTGGCCTTTGTAAAATATCATAATTATGGACTTATAACTGTAGAGCCTGATGATGAATTTATTGAAAACAATTGTTCATTCAAATATTCTTCATTTTTGAATATTCTATGGGGATTTTTAATAATATATGCCCAATTCTCTCTTTAATGAAATTCTTCTAAGTTAGGGTTATTAAAACTTCTAATCAAAAATTATATCTTTATAATTATTCATTGGCTTTTAAGTTAAACTGTACACTCATCTAATAAAAAGTTGTGATATCTAAAAATGTTAAACTTTTTTTTTAATATAACAGCCTTTTTCTATGTTTAAACAACCCGGGTTTAATCTGTAAATAAACGGCCGTCTAGCGCTTTCAGGTCTTCTATGGTGGTCTAGTTTCAATTGACTCATGAATTCAACTATAAAATTACTAAAATCTTCACAAAACCCCTTCTGACTATAAATAAAACTCAAAGAAGTGTAGCTTATTACTTACTTACGCTTGTTACTCCTTGTGAAGGAGTATAGGCCTCTCACCAGCATTCTCCATCCAACCCTGTCCTGGGCAATTCTTTCCAGCTCTTTCCAGTTATTATTCATCCTTTTCATATCTGTTTTTATAATTAAAGGAAATTGAATAAAACTGTTATCATCAAGCCTTCTTTAATCGCTAAGTAAACTAATTTGCATATATTCTATCTTAGAAACATAACTAAAATAAAATGTTTACTAAAATATTTTTTGATATTTCTTAACTTACTGCTTTATCGCACTAATACTTTTACAACTCATTCATTATGCCTTCTGTTATTTTTAGGGAATCAATTATTCATTTAACTCTTATGTTTTTTGGTTTAACTTCAATGGCAATCGTCTCATATGCAATGGATTGAATTGATAAATATTATGATCAGAATCAAAATAACAACAACAAACATGTTACATAATGATATATACACTGATTTGCAAAGAAAAAGATGATCATCAATCGTTGAAAACAGAACACCTAAAAGATTATCTAATTTCTTATATCCGGTTGCCATTATACCCCATCCTCATTCTCACCTTATTTGCCTTCTCTTATTTATCCAATTAATGTACATGCATAAACATAATATATCTTATTGTTATGATAATGTTGAGAAATCTAGAAAAGATGTCTCTGTGAAACAATTACTCTCCATCATTCATCCTCTTTTTCTCGGTTATTTCACATTTTTCTCTATTGTGAGTTTCTTTCTTTCTTTTTCTATATATATGTAATCTAATCTATTCATTGTTAAATCCAGTGATGATAATAATATACCATTATATGTCATGCATAGTTGATAGAAAAGAAGCAAGAAATTTTCTTTTACAAAATCTTTTACTATATTAAATCTATTATTGAATATTGTACAAGTTGTATTGTTTTAAACAGTAAACAACTAAAATTTTAATTGTGTTGTATAGTGTAATAAGCTAAACTTGGATTATTGTTATTATTATTATTGTTATTATTATTATTATTATTATTATTATTATTATTATTATTATTATTATTATTATTATTATTATTATTATTATTATTATTATTAAACGTATATTCTTTTGATTTCAAACCATCCAACGAGTACTTTTCATTCAATTTGACAATGACATTGATTATGTATCATCTAATTTATAATTTAATGATATTAATTAATATAAGAGTAATTATTCTTTATTATTAATTTTACATACTGGTGAGTAGTAACTGCTGGAGAAGATTGAGAATAAATCGAATCATTTCTTTCTTTTTTCTTTATGAAATTAGTTGTTTGTAGAAAAACAACTTCAGTTTTTCCACTTACTCTAATCTTATCAATTTATCAGTTTTTTATGAAGTGTCAATATCTGAAAGCTTTACGATCCAAATATTGATGTTGTTGTTAACTTAGATATATATGATTTCGTTATTTTGTTTTTGTTTGTTCAGACAAGATAAAATAAACATCATGATCCTGAATGTGTTCAATATGAATATGTGAAAAAAGAAAGATCCATTCAATTTGTACAAACAATTTAACTAACCTATTACAGAATTAACATATTTTTTGTATGCTGATTAGTTGTCATCCAGGAGTTTATGAGAAAAAAAAACTCATTAAATTTCACTCTTATTCTACGTTTCATTTGCCTTCGATAAAGTATACCATTTCTATTCAATTTAGATTGATTTGTTTGATCACAATACCTAATAACATGTTTAAAAGATTATATATATAGAAGTAGTATCCTAATGAGTAGAAAATTGCATTACTAACGTCTTGTAATTGAATGTAAATCATTTCTTCAAAATAAATTTTACTAATAACTAATTTTCAATATGACACATTTTCTAAGTACATCTTTAAATATAATCTGCTTTTGTTTGGAGGTTCGTGTTACTATCCGATTGTCTAAATGAAAGTAGATGGAATAGGGTTCGAGTCTGAGGAATGATGATGATGAATGTTATAATCTCTTTCTTCTTACGGTTAATGACCCAGCTATTCCTATTGCTTAGTATTTTTGGACACCGATTCACTCGACAAGTCCCCAAATCAGAACACGGTTGAACAGGAAAGAGATTATATTCCAAATAGCAAGTCAGAAGCACAATAGGGAAAAACGTCAGTATATTTATAGTTTTTACGTAAGAAGATTCCAGAGTATTCTCCAACTATCGACTAGTGCTGACTGGATAAGAATTAGCCAATCAGCGTGCACCAAAGCAATCATGCATTGAGCATGCTTTAATCTAGTCTATGTCCCGCTAACAATGAATTTAAAACAATCGACCCAGTTTTATAAAGGGTTTATATGTCAGAAAACTGACACTTGGTTATAAATAAGTTCAGTCATTTTAATACGAAATTTGAAAAGGATACACTAAATTTCATTATCATTCTAATCTACTTCAAAATAACACTTCAGGTAAATATTGATCACCATCTTACACAATAGTAATTTCCGAAACATCGGTACAATGAATTCACTAAGTAGACAGATAGTAAGCATAGTTCGATGAAATTTATTGTGCCCTTAGTAATATCAAACCGAAAAATCAATGAGATTTAAAGGTTTAAGAAGTTACTTTTTTTTCAATCTCTCTCTTAAGGACGAAAATATTGTTCAAAGGTCAATTGAATTCTCGCTTTATATTCTTACATGCATCTTGATATATACATACATATTTTTTTAACTAGATTATCGTTTGTATTCTTATAGCATGTCACCTATCAGCTTTAAACTTTTGAAAAAAGTAAACACATTGTACCAAGTCTAATCATTGATTTGATTTCTTTTATAATCGATAAGAAAACTAGTATTTCCCGCTATGGTAATGTCACGTGTGGCAACTTAGACAGATATATAATCATACTGCGTCCTAGATGCTGCACAACAACTAACTATCTGGTTTGTATATGTAAACATTTTTAGGTTTTCTTACTGATTATATCATATAAAGGATTTTTTAACAACTGATTCAGAAAATTTCCTGTTTACCTGTAACTATCTCACTAGTCTCTGAACATACGTTGACAACTAACTGACTGACTCTCTCAATGAGAATAACATCACTCGAATTTCTGTTTTATTATTTACTAGATACGATAAATTATTTCCAGTGTTAAATAATATATTTCTAGTTTAATTTCCATCACGTAGTGATGTCAACTATAGAATTGTTCAAAATCAGGGATAACTTAGTAGGTATTTTGCACTCGTTTTACACCTCTTAAAGATGCACCATCATTATTAGATACAGGATCGAATGCGGAACTTTCGAGTCTCGTAGTAGGCATAATGCTTTTAGATATATTACTGATTATTGTTCACAACGGTTTCACGTCTATTCAAATGGATACCTCAGAACCAAGAACAATCTCGACCAAACAACACTATTTTCTAAATGTGTCTGCTTTCGTTTTCCGTTCATCATCTTGGTAATTAATGTGGTCATAAACAAAAGCATTAATTTCACTTATTAAGCATGATACTACCCAGTATGCATGATATTTGTCCAATCTCTTTTTGACTTCAATGTTATTTCATTTTAAATGGATAATATTTTAGTAATTTATATTAGAATGCATACAACTAATCGATATGGTACTGTCATCTTTGCCATTTAGTTTCATACTGATTTATCTACTTCTGGTTTATGACAACCGATTACTTTCTTAACCATTTTAACTTTATAGACTATATCCATATTATGGGTATTTTCTAAATATAACAGTCCAAGGGAAATCGAAAAATAATTACTTGTATTTTGAATTACAAGGTACTGAATTCAAGTCGTAATGTAAACATTAACAATGAGATGTACATCCATTCGACTGACCAGTCCCAAATGGGTCGAGGTACACATATTGGACTCCCTTGTTTGTCACAGTCTGTTTGTCATATTCAATTCCTTATGTTTATCCTTCTACTATAAAATAATTAGATGGTGGTTGGAGGGAGTCAACAGGAAACCCTGGGCCCGGGTTTCGTGCTACTTGGCACTCGTCAGCAAGGTGTACCTGTAATCTTGAGGGAACTGGTGCTCCCTGGCGAACTCGACCTCGTGTCACCCAGCTTCACAGTCAGAGACGTTACCACTGAGCTATCCGAGCCGTGACTAACCTCCTGTAGGACTGAGATGTAATCACAATTGATTGATCACTGGGTGGTGATCAATCTCATGCTTGTCTAGTCCTTATTAGTGCAGATCGAGTGCTATCGATCATGTTGCAATGTGGCCACCAGTCTAGGTGACTCGACACCGCGGGCACTATGTATTGAGATTAGATTATTATTTATAATGTCAAGTGACATTTTTCTTAGATTTATGTAAAATACTACAACAGTAATATAGATCTGTTTGATTGATTTCCCATTAGTTAATCATCTCCAATGAATACTTGTTAGATTTTGTATTTCCATCATGAGATTTGTGTCCCTTTCCAAAGAAAATCGATATTAAATTGTTTAGCAATAATATCAAAGATATCACATATGTTTGGAGCCTTTTTCCCTTTTTGTTTTTTTGGATAATTGTTTACTGATTCTTAAAGTTTTGTACGTTTACTTTTTTCGAAGTATGATTGGTTATTAAATACTGATCAACATATAGTAAATATCAGAAGACGGTTTTGTGGAGAGTTTTAGTAATTTAATAGTTGAAATCATGAGTCAATTGAAGTTAGACCACCATGGAAAAACTGAGAGCACTAGCCGGCCTATTGGTATCGCTCACGAACATTTAACATTTAGACAACTGAGCCGGCATCCAACGGTGTTAATGTCTACCTTCAACCAACCCACGAAATTGCACCAACGTCCATCATTGTTTTCAGTGAGTTACTATCTCATAACAGACCTGGTTGAACTCCACTGGTCACTACTTCTCACTAGAACTTCAGGAAATACCTCTTGAAGCTAATCACTAGTGAGCACATGATGATTCTGACATAACAAATAATCATTTTAAATAAATTTGTTCAAGTTAAATGATGAACTACATAATTTCCTTTACAAATAAATAAGGTAAGTAGAGTGGTGGGTGCTACTTATATTGATGTAAGTAGTATATGACGCGAATCAGGAACGTAATGTATGGCAGCAGAAGATGGGGGAAGAGTGAGAACACAATGCGATTTGTAAGAAACCGCATGAACAATAAATTGTGAGACAATGGATTGATGTTTGCAACAGGAACAGTCCAGGTTGATATGATGGATTGATATTTTGCAAATTAACAATTTACTGTATGGTTTTTCTATTTTACCAAGTTACTCTGTAATTTCGTGCTAGATACATTTGATTGTCCCCACCCGTGTTCTGTTCATTACAGTAGTATATTGCATAAATTATGAAAATCTTATCGTCTAAATAAAAATGC